CTCTACAGTACTGGTCCTTCCAGAGTCATGCAGAACCCAAAAGAGGGTGGCACATCTGCGATCTGTTACCAGAACTCATCTCTTGGGCTAGGTCTGATGGTCTGGGCCAGCCAGCTGAGACAGCACTGTGCAGACTGTCTGAACAGGAAGGGCAGCAAGTCGAGACACACGCTCTGACCATGCTGAATGTGTAATCATGGAAATCACAGCTGTGCCTCTCGAGGCTTTATCGCGGGTGCTGGCTCAGCAGCCCAGAAGCTTGTAATCCACCGTCGGACAGCCCATCTCCAGACAGTTCTGTTCGGGCTGAACTTGTGCTTACTCGGCACTAACCCCACTTAGAGACCCTGGTCGGGAGGAAGGAGGCATCTATGGGAAAAGCATCTGAGGTCAACCAGCAGAGAAGAGGTAAGGAAAACGTAAGAGCATATCCTAGAAGAGGCCCTGAGTATTCAGAACTCTAAAATTTTTTTAAAGAAATTTCAGTTATTATTTTTTATTTTATGTGTATGAGTGTATTGCTTGCATGTGGGTAGGTGCACCCATGTTGTGCAATGCTTGCAAAGGTCAGAAGAGGGCGTTGGATCCCCTGGAACTAGAGTTATAAACTGTTGATAACTGCCATGTGGGTGCTGGGAATAGAACCCAGGTCCTCTGCAAGTGCAGTCAGGGCTCTTAACCACTGAACCATCTTTCTTCAAAGAAATTTAACACTAACAAAATTAATAAATTTGATAGCTGCTTTAAGTTACTGAAATGACTAAGAATACCAGTATGCAGGCAGATGCCATAGGATGGTGCCCAAAAGCACTGGTCTGAAATTCAAGAACAGTAGTTTTTAAAAAATTTTTATTTTTATATGTATGAGTGTTTTGCCTGCATGTGTATAAGTGCACCTGTGATGTGCAATGTCCATGGGGGCCAGAAGAGGGCATCAGATCCCCTGGAACTGGAGTTATGGATGGTTGTAAGCTGCCATGTGGGTGCTGGAAACTGAACCCAGGCCATTTGCAAGTGTTTTTAATCAACAAACCATCTCTAGCTCCCTTTCCCCCGAATTTTTCTCTTATTAGTAGCCACATGGTGAAAGGCACGGCAGGACAGAAAGGTGGTCCTCCACAGTATGGTCAGGCTCCTTCATGGGCCATCATTTAAATTCACTTGGATTTTGCTTAGAGGATCAATGATGTAATAGATTATATTGGTTTTTTAAATTTTCAATTACATTTATTTATAGGTGTGTGTGTGTGTGTGTGTGTGTGTGTGTGTGTGTGTGGGGGTGTGTGTGTGGGGTGTGTGGGGGGGGGTGTGGGGGGGGTGGTGTGTGTGTGTGTGTGGTGTACAATCTATGGTATGGATATAGTCAGAAGACAACTTGAGGGAGTTGGTTTTCTCCTTCCACTGTGTGGGCCCCAGGGATCAAACACAGGCCATCAGATTTGGCAGCAGAAGTCTTTACCTACTAAGCTACACTGCCAATCCAAGAAGGTTACACTCTTGATCAAGGGCTCAACTTTTAATAGACACGAACTGTCCTGACTCGTAATGTCTTTATGGTCTATATTCATTTTAAGGCTTAGAAGCAGGATAAAACAACTAATTGGCTGACATTTACTCAAAATCATCCCCAAGAGTTAGAGAGTTGGGCAAGGCTGCTCTGTGACTACAATCCACAGATACAAATGGATAGCAATGAAGGTGTGTAGTGTGAGGTTGGGAGTCAAGGGAACAGGACTTGCACACCAGATCTTATGAGCCAGCTGCAGATTCTGTACTATCGTGTGTGCTGTGCTGCTTGGTGCCACTGGGTTTACTTATTTTCCTTCAATTAGGAGGCTAGTCTGTGCTTAGGCTAAGGGGCTGAGGGTATAGAATGTTGGTGGAAGGAGGGGAGGAGTGCCAAATCAAGTGTCCATAAACCTCACTCTCTGCTAAAAGCAGAAAAAATTGAGTTGTGAGATGGGAGAGATCAGTGATTTTCACACCATTCAGACAACCTAGCAACTATGCTATGCAGCCCAGCCCGAGGGTGTGAATGTGAATGACTCAGGCCTTGATCTCTGTAGGGAAGGATGAGTGAGCTCCTTGGAGGCAGGAGGGACATGTTAGAAGCCAGGCAGGCCTGAGAGGGTGGTAGACTCAGGTAGGCCTGGCCCATTCCAACAGAAGAGCTAACACCTTGACATCAGGCTACACTGTCCTGGGGAAGGGAAAGGAATGCGCATTTTAGAGACAGAAGAGTTCAAGCAGACAGGAAAGCATCATGACAATTTTTGATATGTTGGTTTCTCAGGTTTAAATTTCCAATCAGGAACTTTCCATTGAACTTTGGCTATGTAGTTTTCCATTTTTGAGTGTGCATTTCTCTCCCGTTTGGGGACTTCACTCATTACTGTAGAGCAGGTGTACCCATTCCAGATCCAAGATAGCTAAAAGGTACTGCAGAGCTCTCTGGAACCAGGGAAGTTTCTAAGTTTACCAGAAAGTTCCTTTTTCCCTTCATTTCACTTAGCTTTTTGTATCACCTGTTCTTTTTCTAAAAAAAAAAAAATTACAGAAAATTCAGTCAGGACACATATGAGTGCAGGTGTCCAAGCCTTCTAAAAGAGGCTGTCAGATCCCCCTGGAGCTGAAGTTATAGGTATTTGTTAGCCTTCCAAACATGGCTGCTGGGAACCAAACTCAGTCTGCAAGATCATATGTGTTAATCATATCTCCAGGCCCCTACTTTTCAAAGATCTATTTTACTGATCTTTGTGAGTGTGTGTACACATGTGTGCTTAAGGAGGCCAGAAGGGGGTGTCAAATCATTTGGAGCTGGAGTTACAGGCATTTGTGAACCACCAGATGTGGGTGCTGGGATCTGAATTCCAGTCCTTATTACTGAGAGGACATGCTTTTAACCAGCCAGCATCTTTCCAGGTCCCCACTCTAATTGTTACAACTCACTTCATTGAAACCTACGCAGGGTAGACAGACACAATTACATGCCATTTAAAGTACCCACATTCTTGTTTCCATAAGCCTGTGAGCTTTGATGTTCCTGCAGGCCATGTCCCTCTGTGTCTCAGGTAGGTGCCCCTTGCTTTCTTCCTGTTGGGTGCTAGCTATTCCATTTGGGGCTTAATGGAAATGAAGCTGGTGAGTTCAGATTTATGAAAAGGCTAGAATGTTTTTTTAAGGTGTAAACTCTGAGGGAATTTTGAATCAGATTATGTTGGTTTTTTTTGGAGTGGGGGACAGGGTCTCTCTGTAGCCCCACCTGGCCTGTAACCCACTATGTAGGCTGGTCTGAGATCTGCCTGCCTCTGCCTCCTGAGTTCTGGGATTAAAAACATGTGCTACTACACCTGGCTCTGGTAGTAAATTTTGAGAAACTGCCATCTCTAAAAAGACAGCAACTCTTAACCATCCCACTCATTACCCCAATATGGCAACTAGAAATATTTTTTTACTTGCCTCTCAATCAGTCCCTATGAATGGGAGGACCCATCCAGGTAAATGTCAATCACAGGGTGAGAAAACCAGTAGCTATTGCCCTCTAAAGCTTTTTCTGCAGAAGTCTGTTAGAAGAGCCCAGATTCTTTGCAGGTACCACAGCCATAACTTTTCCTATTTTTAGGAAACGTAACACAGAATCCACAGGGACTCAGGGTGATATGCAGAGCAATGGAGAGTTAAGGGGAGACCTGTGCAGGCCCAAAGCCTTCCTGCCACTTCTAGCTGCAAAATGGCTCACCTGGTCTTAGGTTGCTCTGCCCGCCACCTGAGGCAAGGCACAATGAGCCAAATCCGACTTATTAATGCAGTCTGTCTACTTTTTCCTTTTAGTCTAGCATAGGTTTGAAAGTACTCCTCCTCATTTGAAGAAATCATCTCTAGTTGAACACATCTGCACACTGACAGGCACAGGCAGCTTTATACATGCACTGCTTTAATCAGGGGGTCTAAGTCATTTAAAAGGAGTTCTGTTGTGGTTAACGGGGTACTGAGACTATCCTAGGGGTCCAACAGGCCCACAGCCTTGTTTTATTTTACTCTTTGGTTTCTTTTTGTGTGTTGTGTGCTTGTGTGTGCATGCATTCCAGTATGTGAATCTAAGTGCACACAAGCACATGTGGAGGTCAGAGGGCAGCCCTGGTGTGATTCCTCATCTTCCACCTTGTTTGATACATAGGCCCTTTGGTTGTTCACTGCAAGTGCCAGACAGGCTGGTCTGGGAGCTCCCAGGGAGACTCCTGCTGGGATCACAGACACAGGCTGCCATATCCTGCTTTACATGGCTCCTAGAGACTCAACTCCAGGTTCTCATGATCACAATAAACTCTTTACTTACTGAACTTCTCCCCAGCCTCATTTTTGGTTTCTTGAGATAGGGTCTCATTTTGCAGCCCAGGCTGGCTCACCCTGCTGCCCAAACCTCCCGAGTACTGGAATTAGAGACATGTGCCACAACAACCAGTTTCTATATGGTCCTGGTCTGCATCTGAGCTCTAGTAATGCAACAGAGTCTGTATCTGAGAAGCCTAAAGTGCTTACAACCAAGCTTTTTAAATAAGCCTGCAATGACACTAAAGCATCCCAGCTTAAAGTTAAAAATGTGGGGCCTAGTGGTGCAGGTCTATGATCATAGCTACTCAAGAGGCTGAAGCAGCAAGATCATAAGTTTAAGGTCTGCTTGGGTTACTGAGTGAGTTTCAAGGCCAGACTAGGCAACTTAGTGAGACCTTGTCTGGAGGGGAGGAAAATGCATTATGCTAACAAAAGAAATGGAGGAGGAGGTACTGAATAGACATGAATATATCTCAGTTGGTAGAGTGTTTGCCTAGCATCTGAGTAGATCTGAGTTCAATTCCTAACACTGCAAAAATAACAGACAAAAAATAGCACTGGATTGTTCTCAATTAAATAAGTCACTCAAAGACACTACGCGCACTTTCCATTCATTATATCCTTTAAAATATTTTATGTCCCTAAGCACATTTAGGCCACACAAAATATAAAGGGTTACAAATATTCAGATTTTATTATAAATAAAATACTGTTTTTTTTCTTAAACATAAAAAAATGCCAAGTGTTGCGCTTTATTAACCACCCTGGAGAGCAAAACTGATGAGATTAAGGCAAACAGGTAAAGTGAAGGCACATTATAAAAGGCCACAGCTGGAATCCAAAGGGAAAACTCCAGGGGAAAAGAGTAACAATCTATTCCCTGTGACACTCACATTCCGCAGCAGCCATCCTGTCAATTTTATGACATAAAATACAGATAATTGGAACTATACAGAATAATGGCTATCTTTCAGGAGTGTAAATAAGGTATTATCTGGTAAAGAACTTCCATTTTAAAAATAAAATTCTGTTTTAGAATATACCATACAGATGGAAAAGTAAACAAATAAACCAAACCAAAACACTCCACTATTGCCTTAGATCTGCTGGACCCAAAGGACCTCAGCTGTCTATTTTCAGTCCTTTTCATACAACTGTGACCAAAATGCATATTAGGATGGTGACCACTTAATAAGAGGAACTAGCTGTTTGGCACTGCCATGAAAACTTGGCGAGAAAATTGCAATACCTTCAGCAATAGCAGAAAGGCCTCGGAGGAGAAGGGTGTCAGCTCAGGGATGCTGAGCCAAGCATTTATGGCAATCTCTGTGCACCCCAAGGAAAGAGGAAAGAGGATCAAGACCTGAGCAGAAAGCCTCTCCCATGAACCCATCAGTAGCACTATTCCTGATGCCCTAAAGTGCTCAGTCATCATCGCTCCCTTAAACTGACACATCCAAATTAGAGAATGAATAGAAAGGACATTACTAGAAAGGTGTAGAAGATTCCCATCAGCGAACTTTCCTGACTATCTTACCCTGTCAGCCTGGTATCTGTTCTGGGGCAGGCATTGAGAGCAGCATGGCGCTGCAGCTCAGATGGTGAGGGCTACAGTGAAGAGGGCCCAAGTTACCTCTTCAGTCTGGGTGTGGAAGTGAGCAGGTGGGTATTAAGGTCAGACAATGGAGATGCTGCAAACACGAGGCAGAGTTGGAGCAAAGAAATGGGGAACAGGTATGATTGGAAGAAAGGGTGGGAAGGGAAGAAGTTGTACAGAGTCACTGTGCCAGTGAGGAGAAAATGAGCAAAGAAGTGAACAGACAGAGCCATTCTAGGAGGGCCAGGTATATTTACATAAATTCCTTACTCTATAATCACGATAAACAAAAAAAAACATTCACACAAAAATATAAATTTGAAATAATTAATAGCACCAGTGTGTCAGATAATAGTTTCTTTCCCCCGCTACACAGAGTACAAAATTGCATAGTGTTAAAGGCTATATATGAATCTCAAAGGCAGGTAGGTAGGAAGGGGAGTGTGACTGGGAACTGTCACACTGTGGTCTTAAGAAAACCACAGAGCTGAGGATCAAAGGTTGAGAAGCTCACTAGGAATATCCACGTAAGGTTCTTCCCTCTTCGTGTAGAGAAAAGTCTTACAGCAGGTTGGGTCACAAAATGCAGGAACCAGACAGTGTGGGCAGCTTGTGAAATACTGAGTGCTGGCATCTGCCACCAGGATCTGGCAAACAGTGATGTACTGTGAGGTGTTCCAGAAAAATGGAAACATAAGAAGAGAACCAGAGCTAAGGGAAAATGTTTCATCTCTCTCCAATCAAGAAATAAATGCATATATGGAATCCTAGTGACGTAAGTCACATCCCAGTTTCATCCCTTTTCTAGAAAAGACTGGGAGACAAGGAACTATGTTTTTCTTTTTTTTTGGCCAAGATCTTAGAGACCAACTGTTTTGACAGATATCTTAACTATCTGACAGATATTCAAGACTAACATACTAACAAAGCTCTAAGAATTTGACTTGGGAAAAAACTTTAGTGGTTATCATACCCCTGTTTCTTCTGTATTAAGCCCCATTTATAAGAATATCCAAAGATGTTAACTAGTCTAGTGGTAAATACAAGCTGCCCATCTGGATTTGTATTATCAGCTGCCTAAGGAGTTGAAAAAAGTTTATCTTCCTAGTCAGTTGTTATATTAATATAGGAGAAAATCTTCAGCCTCTTTGAGCCACGTTTTCCTGGAGACTCATACATAATTGCATCCTTAGCTGAGATAGCTCAGCATCCTACACTCAAAACAGCTAGCACAACTGGTGAATGGCTACCAACATTCTAAATGACCAATACCTTTGGCACAGGATGTTTATTTCCTTTTTCTTAAAAGCAGGAGGGCAGAAGACGCAGAGGCATTTTCTGTATCCATGGACTGGACATACTGGCCACCTCAATGCTACAGTTAGGAGCCAAATATTTCCTTCATAGAAACATGAGTACTGAGACTGAGGAGGTTCTGCTGGTATCGGTGTGAGGGGAGGGTTGCTTGGTCTGCCATGGCATGCAAAGGTTCACATGATACATGTATGCCACTGGAGGATGCCATGTCAGGACAGTGAGGAGGGAAAGTTCGGGTAAGGTAGCAACATGAGTGGAAAAGAGACTTTATTAGGCGAAACCCTTTGTTCCTGGTTCAGGATGTTTAATTGGCTTCTCTTTAAACTCTGTGACTTTTCTTGGTTCAAAGGGACAGTGATGGAGAGCAGCAGAGAAGTGGGGGTCTGAAAATGTAATCTTTGTATCAAGGCACTCTGTGGCCTCACAAATGTTCCCCAGCCAGGGGACACTGCCTTCCAGCCCTCCCGTCACTAGGGCTTTTCAATGGACGGGGTGTTGAAGCAGCCAGATGGTAGGGTCTTCCTGATGTCCTCTAGATTGTGAATGTCCTTCATGATTTCCTCGATGTCTCGGTTATAGTCCATGATGGCCGCCTCCTGCTTGCGGGCTTCATTCTCCAGGTCAGACACTTTCCTGTCGAGATCACTGACCTTCATTTCATCTTTGGCTTTGTTCAGGGTGCCTTCAATCTCATTTAGCTTGTTCAAGTCCACTGTATCCAGCTGTCCTGTAGAGTCCAAGAAGGCAGAGAGAACAGGCACATTCAGTAAGAACTGGAACACCACTTCCTAAGTGTCTCCTCTTTCCTGTTTACAAACTAAACCCAGCAGCAGCCATAGTGCAAAGGAATCTCTGACTTGCAGGTGCTGCTGTGTTCAAGGGCACAACCCAGCGGGGATGGGTCAGAGCAAATCATGACTATTAGGCCAGATGCTTTTCTCCTGAGGAAGTGGTTTTCATGGAATGCTTTAATTTTTTTTTACATTTATTTATATACTATTTTTGTGCGTGTACATGTGTACACGTGTGTATTCACATGCTCCGTGGCATGTAGGTGGGTCAAAGAAAAACTTGCAGGAGTTGATTCTCTCCTTCCACCATGTGGGTCATAGGGATCAAACTCAGGTTAGCAGGCTTGGCAGCAAGCTCCTTTACCCTCTGAACCATATTTCCAACCCTTGCAGAATCTCTCCCCCCCCCCCAAGATCTTTATTTTTATATTTACGTGTGAGTGTACACAAGCGTGCATGCATGTGTGCATGCTTGTCTGTGTTTGACTGTATGCCACAAGTATGCAGGTACCCAAGGTGACCAGAAGAAGGGTTTGGATTCCCTGGACCTGGAGTTACAGGCAATTGCTAGTCACCTGATATGGGTGCTAAGAACCAAAATCTAGTCCTGAGGAAGAGCAGGAAGTACTCTGAACCACTAAGTCATCTCTCCAGATGCTCACAGAATGTTTTCTAGCACAGCTACCATGACCTAGACCTTAAGCCTCACTTATGCATCTGAAAGCCATTTTGTAACATTTAATATCCTCTGCAGGTCTGCATGTATAACCTCTGTGCTATTTCAGGGTCATCAAAGAATACTCAAATCACCAAGACAGACGCCTGCAGCCTCTTAGATTCTAGGGAAGATGGGTTGGCTTGGAGGTCACATCCTGCTTTCAAGAGTTAAGACACTATTGGGAGCTTTGCTATGAAAAATGACTAAAATTGAAATGCTGAAATACTATCAGCAACTCCTTGCTCTAAATGTAGCAAGAAAAAAAAGTTCTTTTTGAAAGAACAGTAAATTACAACAGACACAAAGACAAGCACTCTCACAAGAGCAGTCTACCTCAGTGATGCTCAGATGTTTAGTAATTTGTTCAAGTTTGTCTAAACTTATAGGTGATAGAGCAAAAATTCTAACCCCAATCTGACTAATTATAAAGTCTGATTGTTTCCTCCATAAAATCCTCTCCTTTAGCTTACTTTCATTTTAAGCTCATCAGCTGGCACATCATTTACATTATTGATATTTGAGATAGATAAAAAATTATCTCCCTTAAGAAAAAAAATCCATACAGCACAGTTATCTAGCCTTTAGAGGCTAGCAAATTAAACACAATGCCTCCCTAGAGCCTTGGCTTTGGTATTGCTACCTCATACTGGAGTCTGGTGGCCTCAGTGCATGTACCCTAAAAAGAGGCCTGCTCTCCTCCAAACTGGATTAAAAGGAGGGCATGGTGTGCAATCAGGGTTTTTTTTTTTTTTTTCTCTTTGGGCATAACAGTTTTCACCTCATCAAACTGTCCTTTGGTTGACAAATGAAGAGAATTCTGAGCATCAAAGTCATGGTCAGTTTCATGCCTTCTTTTATTCTATCACTGAGCCTTTATTTTTAAATCTCTTAAATCCCTCCATGAGTAGGGTGAACTAAGGGGGGAAAAATCAGCATTTGATGCTATGATGAACCTGGACTATAAGTGAACCCCAGCAGCTGGTAGCACATCTTCAAAATGTAAAAAGACCACAGTGTTCTATTCAGGGCAAGTCTGTGCAAGGTAACCAAAGTGCTTGTCCAACTCAAAGTCATGATTCAGTTTGCACTCTAAAGCTGACAAACAGAGCAACACTATAATAATGCAAGCTTAAAAGGCTCCACCATGTGAGACACAAACAGTGTATAAGGCATTTTTAAATAAGAGCTAAAGGAAATATTAATACTAATAAACTAATGAATGACTTTAGAGGGATATGTATCATCTGATTGAGTCAAAGGCACCAGATCCCAGGAACAGCATTAAGAGAACTGACTGAACGGATGCTGCAGGTACTTACCCAGCTGCACCAAGAGGTCATTAATCTGGTTGAGGAGGCTGTTAACAGAGTTTTTGGCTTTTCTGGCATTGATCTCGGCTTCCTGAGCAGCCTGTGAAGCCTGCAGGGAAAGAGGATAAATAATGTGAATACTTCTGACTACATGTTTTTAGCTTCTTTAGATATTTTCCTCCAGTGAGCCAGCAAATCTCTTCAGATGTGTTTCCCTTTTCTTTCCTAAGTGTGAATTAGTCCCTCTCTCACTGTGGAGGTTTTGGAGTCATACCTTCAGGTCAGGATGCTGCTATTTCCACTGCACAGAACAGTCATCAGGATCGGGATGGCTTTTTTTAAAAGTCTTCAACACAAGATCCTCCTGCTCACCTTTCTGTGTGCTAACTACAGGAGTGCGGCACCATGCCTGGCTGCCCTTCATTACATATGTATTCAGAAATTCAGGAACTCACTGCTATCTCCTTTCTCACTTCCCCACTAAAGAACACAGAGGTATACATATGATAAACCCATTAAGCAGAAAAGGGTTATTATTTAGGGACGGGCACAGAAACTGTACTGTAAAACATGACTACTCTAGGAACTTCACTATCAGATGTCCTATTCTGACAAGTTTGCATAAGCAGGTGAAGCTTTTCTGAAAATTCCGTCAACCTATAAACACACACCGCACACACACACACACACACACACACACACACACACAATGGACATTTTCAAAGAACCCATAAACACACACCGCCCACACACACACACACACACACACACACACACACACACACACACACAATGGACATTTTCAAAGTCAACCAAAGGTAAATATATTTGGGAAAGTTCCATGAAACCTGAACAAATACACTGAGCATGAGTCACAGGAAACAGCAGTGGAAGAGGAAGTATCTAAATATCAGAAAACAGATGCTCTCACAATAAATCCAGTCAAGATAGAAAAGGGTAGCTTTGAGATCTCTACCACATAGTTGTTTTTCCTAGTTTTGGGGTTGAGACAAAGCAAACATCTGGGGATCAAAACAATGTGAAAAATTTAAAAACAAAAAGAAAGGCAAAAAAACAAAAAAACCTTCTTTCACAAATAAATGATTCATTTCAGTTCAAATCTCAGCTGTTCTTACTGAGCCTGCACAGGCTTTCCTGTGAGGGTTCAGGGAGAGGGACACAGGGCTCCACTGTGGCCATCAAGAGCTACCCCACTGTGTTTAACCTGGGACCTTTGACCTCCTCTTCCAGAAAGAACCATAACCCTTTTGGTGAGAAAAAAAAAATTACAGATTCAGACAATACTGGCTGAATGTTGGACTTTCTGAACTGACAGAAATATAAATGAGACAGTGAATGAAAGGTGGGCTTATATGTTCTAGAAGTTATTTACCAAAAATAACAAGCGGTATTTTCCTTCTACCCTTTGAACTAAATCCATATTCTTTTTTGAAACTCATAAAGATGTATATTTTACTTTCGTTCAAAGGCTCTAAATATAATGCTTCCATCAAAATGAAGTCCACAGGACTGGCAAGATGGCTCAGTGGGGAAAAGTGCTTGCCCACTAAGTCTGATGATCTGTGTTCTGTCCCTGGGACCCAGATGGTGGAAGGAGAGACCTGACACTAACGGGCTGTCCTCCATATATGCACCATGCCACAAGCACATGTAAGTAAACACACAAATAAATGTAATTTTTAAAATGAAGTCCACCGACCCTCAGTACACAAGAGAAATGCTGATTAGAATTTCCACTTGAGCCTCTACACTGCAAGCATGGGAGTAGACAAGCTCATGCACACTGTTCCTGTGACTGCTCCACAACACTGGGTAACAGTCCCACTATCCCTCTGTTAAATTCTTTCTGAAGCAGAACATATAGCATAGAGGGGGACAAAAAAGAAGAGGGGTACTAGTTCTCCCTTGTACCACAGAGCCTCAAATCAATTTTATTATAAACTGTGTTATTATGCATGTCACCACAGAAGGTGAATTAAACCAGGTGTAAGGTTGGTGTGCTTTGGTGGAGTGGTGAACACTTCAGAAATGTGCTGTATGTAAAACTGGTCTTGGCCTCCAGGGAGTAAGCTTCTGGAAGTAGAAAGAATTTCGCTTTTGCATTCTCCTTTATTCCTTTTTGATTCTGTCCAATGTATCAGCTACCCATTCAAAAACACGAATACATTGTTTTCAAAAGTTCTAAATCTCTAAATGTGCAAGACAATGTTTTGCTTTTAACTAAGAGCAGCTTTGGACAGGACAATTGTACAACATCAATACCTGGCAAAAGAGCCAGATTCTTTGTCTTCTATGTAAGCCACTGACCCAGTTCTTGACCAGATAATGCAATGAAAACCAGTTCACATGAAAATGACTGTGCCAACAGGCTGGGGTCTCTACTCTCTACTCTTAAGCATCCGTCATTCTGGGCCCATGAGCAAACAAGGAAGCCTCTTACCATCCCTGCCATCATCATGTCCTGGTCAGCATCATTCTGTTTCCTCTTCAGCTCACTCTCTGCTTCCTCTAGTTGCCTCAACATACCGCTCACCTCATCATCCAGACCTGCAACTTCTGCGAAGGTTCTTTCAGCATCTGCCTTGGTGCTGGTAGCATTCTAGGCACAAAGAGACAAACTGCTGATAAAACCAAAACACAGAAACTCAGAACAGCTTCCCTAAACCATAGTCCTCCTCTTTATAATTGGAAAATGGCTCAAAATATGGCTCAGAAAGAATACCACAATGATTTGTGCTATCTCATGACCTACATTGCCATTTATTGGGTTAGCATTAGAAAGGAAAATCATTCCCTAACATAAGAGCATTTTATAGAGCACTTTCATCTACTCTCTCTTCTTCAATCTCTAAATTTTCTTTTCTATTATAGCTATTTATAGCTGAGGTCACACAGAGAGCAATTAAAAATTTAACTGTAGACACTTTCTACCACACTATATTGACTAGACCTTTTGCTTGGATATATGAAAAATTCAAAACTAGCCTGATTATTCTTGGGAGATCACCATAATGTACAAAAAAAGACCACATCCTGAAACATGAACATTGTAATGAAATATAATTCATCTAAAAGCCAACTCTTCTAAAGGAATTACAATTTTTGTGATTTTTTTTCAGCTGTCTAATTTTAAAATAAGTTCTAATCTCTTCTTTAAATGCATAGAACAGAGGACTATATCTTTAAATAGGAAATTCATCTTTAAGATGACCAAAAACCTCTGCCAGTGGCAGTTACAGGAACTCCACACAGGGGCTTGGAAGTCATGCTGATACTACTCTTCATAAGACCGCCCAGGTTTAGGAAGTACGTTTATGTAGGAAGCGTCTGAGCTTCTGCAGGGGGAGGCTCTCAAGCACTTTGAAACTCCTCCTGGTAACTCAGATCCCACACAGAGCCAGTAGAAATTTAGAGTCTTGTTACTGAGTCCTTCTTTAATCATTGGGAGCTTGGCTGTTTTGAGAAGAGGAGAGCACTCACCTGCTGGATGGCGCTGGCAATCCTCTCTGCCTCATGGGCTTTGTTCTTGGCCTCTGTGGCATCAGCTGCAGCATTGCCCAGGGCCAGCTGTGCCTCCCTTGTCTTTTCATTGGCTTCAGCTATGGTCCGATTGATGGCAGGAATCCTCCTCAGAGCTTCTTCTGCAGCTGTCTTGTTATCATTCACACGTCTATCAAAATCTAAAGAGTTCAAGGTATGTACTCGAAATAAACTGCCCAACAGGCAAAAAAACCTCTCAGGAAACTGCAACTGGATTGTTTTATGAGCAATAAAAATCAGTGTAAACAAAGAATGAAAACCAGGACTGAAATCTTAGTAGAGCAAAGTGCACACATCTTCGTACAGAAGATTTTCCAGGAACAAATGAACGCACATCTGTTTCTGAAAAAATAATTCTTACCTGGAAGGGTATTTGCACACAGAGCACTGAGTACGTCATCAGTTTAGCCACAACATATTTAGTGTTTGCTGTTTGTCAGGGATGAGTTTAGAGCTATATATCTCTGTGATGCAGGCACTGCATTCTTTTTATGTATGAGAAAGACTGGTGACTATAGAGGCTCTTTTGTGAAGCAAGAATTCAAACTCAGACCTGAAACCAAAGCCCACACTTGCAACATTTATCCAAAAAATCTTTCTCATTTATAGAACCTATGATTGTTTTGATCAGAATTGAATCAGCTACTCTGTAAATTGGGCACCTTTGTTTTTTTTTTTTAATTTTTTTATTTAAGGTGAATGAAGAAAAAAAATAATTAGATGCCAGCGGCAGAGAAAATGAAAGATAACCTCCATTTATCAGCAAAAGTCAGTTAAATAGGCAGATTATGGTTAATGTGCAACCACCACCCCACACATTCCTTGGTTTACAAAATGAAGAATGCAGGGGCAAAATGATATGAGCACACAGATGTGAGCTCTGGGTTCAGCAGGGGACCGTGCCTCAACAAATAAAAGAGGACAGCAATCAAGGAAGACACTTAATGTCAACTTAAGCCTACACACACATGTGCACACATACCTATGCACACATGCATATACATACATACTGTATTACATGCAAACAAAAGTAGAGGATGAACTAAGTATGGTTAAAGCTCATCGTTAACTACTGAATCTAAGTAATAAGCATACGGGATTTACCACACTATTACGTTCAGAGAGCATCACAATAAAAATAACAGGCAAAAAAAAAAAATGAGAAACTCCCCCAAGGAGACAGTACAGAAGATGCTGGTGTTGACTCGGCATACCTTTGAGGTTGTTGAGAATGTCATTGGCTTCCTGTAGGGTATTCCGCCCCCTTTTAGCAGCTTCTTCAGCAAGAGCCTTGGCAGCATCGGCTCGGGCTAGGAGCTGGTCAGCAGTCTGCAGATACATGGAAGGTCAGAGGACAAACCTTCCCAGGCCAGCCCTTTTGTCCTAACAGACAAGCCCTGCACAGCCGCAGCTCTGCGTAAACACAGTGTACAGTATACACAGTGCCAGTGTGTGTTATCTGGGGAAGGCCTTTGAAACTGGGGTCACACTCCTGACAACTCACACTTGAGCTGCTTAAAATGTTGCCTCAAGAACTAGAGCTGCTAGCAAACCAACCAACCTGCTGCTCAGCTTTTCCTTTCTCTAGAAGATTCTTTACTTCAAGTTCCTTCCCTCTCATGTCTTCTCTGAGGTCCTCATAATCCTTTAATTTCTGGTCAATCAGACGGTCCAGATCTGCAGCTTCTTTCTTGATTTTATTTGCTTCATTCTGAACATTTGAAATGAAATAATTAAGATTAATGAAAATAGCTTAGTATCTCTTAACACTCTCCCAGTTCCTCTGCAAAAGCAGCCAGTGCTCTTAAGCACTGGGCCATCTCTCCAGCCCCCACAGGTCAAGATTTTATGAATTTTATTTTTTTTAACTGGGGTATACCTTAGTAAAATTCTCTGTGGGTATATAAATGATTTTTGCACAAATACATTTACCTAGCCCACACCTCAGTCAAAATGCAGAATATTTCTATCGCCTTAAGAGGTTCGCTTGGATCCTTTTCAAGTTACTCCCCCACATCTCTTTCCCTCAGCTATCACAGTTCTGCCTGACATGACCATAGATCAGTCTTATCTATTTGTTCATTTCATACATATGGAATCAGACAGTATTAATGAAGAGACCTAAACTTCATGGTACCAGTTGATACCACAGACACAAAAAGAAAGACAGTAAATTTCAAGCTTAATGTAAAAACATTTATATAGAGTTTTGTATCAAGAACCATGATTAAAGTATAGATGAAATAAAATGCTACCGACTTCCAAATGTGCCACCTGTCCCAGAGCATCCTGATATATACCTTCAAACTATCATCTCTTTTTGCTCCCTAGGTCTCCACTACACAGCGCCTGAGAGGAAGGGTCTAGCCATATTGTGCTTTAAGTAACAAATATATTATAGTTTAGATTTATATTAAAGACCTAGGGGGATGTATTCATATCTCCAAAGCAATCCCTGCTATTTAATATCTATAGTTCTATTTGTGCAATTAAAATAGAATTCATTTTTACCAGTGGGTCAGCTAGAGGACCCGGGAGGGAGAAGGAGGAAAGTCAAAATGGCTCTCACCTAGACCGAAGGGACAGGCAATGCGACCATCGGAACCTGTGCACACATACCTCCAGGGCCTCAGAGTCCACAGGGGTCAGCTGGGCTACACTGGCATAAATCTCCACTGCTTTGTCACCTGCCCGCTTGGCTTCCTCATGGACTCTAGCAGCCTGCTTCTCCAAATCCTGGGAGATGTTCTTTGCTTGTTCATACCTAAAGAAAAAGTTATGTGATTCAATAAAAAAACAGCTGCTTTTAGCATTTCAATAGTAACCAGATTCAATCTAGTTTATATAACTGGGACATTTCCCAAACCTCAAAGGGAATGCTATATCAAATGTTCTCACTTTTATAACATTTAGCTAAAACTTACATTTCATTTCATCAATTCTATTTACTTTGCCATATATAAGTTGGGCATCCCTAACCCCAAATTCCAAAATCTAACTTTTTGAGTGCCACCATAATACCACTAAAGGGGAATTTTACACTTGACTCCAGGACTCCAGGTGATAGTTAACCATTGAAACACAGGTACATTTCAAATACTGTATCTGGCTAACAGTTGCCATTTTCTGAGTTAGAGTACTCAGATCAAACAAAATCTCTGTGGCTCTACAACCCCTGCTCTAATCGCACTGCCATTCTGAAGCTTGATTAACAAGTGAAATCACACCATATGAACTTATACTCTAAATCCACAGCACAATTCTTCCTGAAACTGGTAGCTTACAAGGATAGGATTGTGAGCCCCTTTTCAATTAGACTCACTTCCTATTCAGTTCTTCAATCTCAAATGCTGTTTGGTTTTCCCCTGCCAGGGTCCTCAAAAGCAGATTATATGCTTCTGCTGATGTTTCGTTGGCCGTCTTGGCTACTCGTACAATGTCATCGGCTTCTTGTTTATGGCTGTACACATAAGAGAAAAAAATAACAAACCATCCAATAGGGAAAGAAGTAGAAGTTATGTAACATTTACTTTATCATATTTACATATATGAGCAGAGATCTAGAAATAGAAGAAAATCCTATTGGGAATTTCATAATCATTTTTGGGGGAGCAGGAGATAAGTGTACAAATAGCATTGTATAAACGAGAAAAGAGTATTTTTCAAGAAAATCATTGGAGTACACTTTATAGGGGCAAATGCTTACTTTACTTAGAAAAACTACTTAGGCAGGGTGTAGTGTGCTTGGTTTATACCTGTAATCCTAGCACTGAGGCAGGAGGATCAGGAGTTCCAGGCCAGCTTGGGCTGCAGAGTGAAACTTTCTTAGAAAAGGGGGAGGGAGAAAAGAAGGGGATGGGAAGGAGGGAAGGAAGCGAGGAAAGAGGAATGGAGTAAGAACAGTTTTAAAATATGAGAGTAATTTACTTAGAAAACTGTGTGTGCTCACCAGAAATCATATATCTAGCCAGCAATACAAATCCCAGGCCTAATCTTTATTATTAACAATCTGTTATACGTAATTACTACACAGTCTTAAAGCAGCCTGATTATTCAGACTTTCTTATGCAATGTAATGGCTGGCAGGAAAAGCAACTCGACATCAAATGGCAATGAATGCACCAATAGAGACTCCAGCCAAACAAATGCTAGTTGTTCTCCACTTCTAAGACCTCATGTTTAATTGTGACACTGTGGTATGTGAGTTTCTCTTTGGCATGAAAAACTTTTACCCAAAATCCTCACATGAAGCCCACCAGTCTTCATCTCCAAGACTTAGCTTTCTTGGGAATATCCCGTGTTTTTAGCTGTCTTCTTTCAGTATGAAAATTTAGCTATAAAACCATGAATGTTCTGCAAAGCTGATTATAACAACTCACAAATTCACACTTACCCAGAACAGAAGGAACCTGCTACAGTCAATGTAACCTAGAACCTAAGCAGTCAATGTAATTGCTTTGGCCACAGTATCTAAAATCCTACCACATGAGGCTTCCTGTGTCCACACTTATGTGGTCTAGTGACTGTTATGCATTCAATAAACCTTCCCTGGACATCTGTGATGTGCCAATCACTGGGGCTTTAGCAGTGAATAAAATATACAAAATGCCCTCATGAAGCCTACATTCTGGCAATTTCATTTTTAAAAATCTTTTATAAACTTTGTGCCTTCTCCAATCTAAAGTCTTCCAAAGAAGACATAATGAATTCAAAAGTGTTTGAAAAACACTGGAATTTTCTTTGGCTTATTCTCAAATGGGTAACGGATTATTATATTTTTTTCTATTGAGATTTGAAAATTAAATATTTTTGTTGAAAACTAATGTAAAAATTTTAAATTAACTACATTCCTTTGGTTTCTTAGAAATCTATAAACTTGAAGGCTTTAAAATAAAAAATCTAAAAAGTTATGATTATCTACATACTTTATTTTCACTTTAACTCTAAATGACTACCCCAATTTCAAGGTAAAAGAGTGTGTACAGATGGTAACATTTCAGAGAGGACAGCAGCACAACACACACACCAGCAGGGGTGCTACCATGAAGCAGGGCAGGAGCTTACCGCTCAGCGAGCCTTCGGGCCTCTTCTGCCAAGAGAGTCATGTTGTTTGGTTCCCCCACAGACTCTGGCTGAGTGATTGACTGAAGAGGAAATAAAACACTTATTCTTAAAAGACTGAATTGTTTAAATTCCATAAAGAAGGTGTTAAAAGTAAATTTTTGTTAGTGTCAGAGTGCAAAAAGAATTCTTATTTTCAGATATCTTTACTTCTGATAAGCACCTTTGATGTAAATTATTTCTATTTTCAGCAAAGGGTAAAAGCAGATTAAATTGCCAACTGCTGTAGGAGAGACAAAGTGAGAGAAAGAACTTAAAATCCTTTGGCTTTTATCCAGCTCCTACTGTTTATCCAGCTCCTACAGGCATTACATGTGCAATGTCCCCCTCAGGCACATGTGTTTGAACACCTGGTCCACAGCTGGAGGTCCTGTTTTGGGAGGCGATAGAACCTTAGGAGGTGGGTCACTGGGGCAGGCCTTTAGGGGTACAGCCTGGCCACACTTCCATTCCATCTTGGTTTCTTGGTCTGGTTTCCATGTGAGAAACCACCAGACAATTCTGCAAGCTACCAATCAGCTATTCAGGTGCCCACTATGATGATCTGCACCTTCTGAAACTGTTGAGCGAAACAAACCTCTTCTCTTAGGCTATTTCTGTCTGGTCACAGAAATGAGAAAAGTAACTATTACAACACCCACAAGCAGCACAGCTATTCTACTCCACAGAGCAAGGTAGGTGGACTGAAGACTCTTACTGCCACCAACAGACCTGCACAAATTACCAACCCACAGAACTTCCCATTCACTCACCACATTGGCAGCAGCCATTTTGGCTTTCTCGAGTTCTCTGGAGGCAATCTCGATCAGCTGCTCTGTGCTTTGAACTCGGGAACGAGCTTGTTCAGCCAAGTTGCCGGTCTCTTCAATGGTATTACGGATATTCTGTAACCGGCTAATTTGGCTATGCAAAGTGTTATTCACTCTCTGAAGGCGATCCATCAAATTTTGGTCTACATCTGAAAGAGCGTTGCAAAGAAAATCTGTATGTTATATGAAGGGGTATGACAACCTTGTATGAAATCTGAGGCACTGTAATTGTTACTCTTCCAGGCAGCATCTTTCAGACACATTCTCCTTGAGCCCTGCAGCAGAGCTGATGTCTCTATCGTGTATCCTGTCCTGCCATACTTTCATGGCTACCAGCCTCACCCTGTTCAATTGCACACCTATCTGTCCTAAGTGACTCTGGGCCGCTTGCTGCCCATCACTGTGTCCATAACCTTACATGGTAGTTGGCAAAGAGAAGACAATCATGATCTGAATGTTTTATCAAGTGAAACTTATTTTGACACCATGATACCCACCAGAGTTAGCCATAAATATACAATATTAAAATCCTGTCAGCTCTGAAAGCTGAACATATTTAAAAACAGATGCTGCTGGGTGTGGTAGCACATGCCTCCAACCTCAGCACTCAGGAGGCAGAGGCAGGTGGGTCTTTGTGTGTTGGAGGCCAGCTTAATCTACATAGCAAGTTCCAGGCCAGCTAGGGTTGCATAGTGAGATCCTGTCAACAAAACAAAACAAAACCAGATGTTGAAGACAAATTCAACTCCTTTTGTACTTTAAACTACAGAGATTTGTTCTCTCTCCCTCCTACTCCCTGTGCCGCCATATATATGTAATTTACAAATTCATCTCTACTTCCATAGGGTTCCTCAAATTGTTATTTATTAGTTATGTCCACTCAACTTAAACTTCACACTTGGGTCCTACTAAATCAAATGATAAATATAAAGCTGTACAAATATAAAGACTGCCAGCATTAAATTCTCATATGCCATGAAGTTTTATTACTATACAAAAAATATTAAGTTCTGTACAAAATTGACCTATTCTTGGAACAGAAAAGAGTCTAGAAATAAATCCACGCATCTGCAGCCAGCCAGTTTCAGCAGAGTTGCTAAAAACACACATTGGCAGAGGGTAGTCATGCCAATAAATGGGCTGGGAAAACTAGATCCACACAAAGAATGACACCGTACCTTTAACTCTGATCAGTTACAAAAATCAGCTCAAATGTGTTAAAGACTTAAATAGAGGCCTGAAATAACAAAATTACTACAAGAAAACAGAAGTGCTTCAGGACAGTGGAATGGGCAAGGACTTCCTGGACAAGACCCAAAAAATACAGGAAACAAAAGTAAAAACAGACAAATGCAATGACATCAAACTAAAAAGCTACAAAGCAAAGGAAACAATCAAAAGAGAAAACCTACAGATAGAAAATAAGTGCAACCTGCATATCTGACAATAGATACCAACTTTTAAAAGCTCATTACCAAAAAGAAAAAAAAAAAGGTTAACAAATGGCCAATAGACTTAAATAGACATTTCTCCAAAGAAGACACAAATGACTAAGAGGTATGTGAGAAAATGCTCAACACCATCATTGAGCAGAAAATGCAAATCAAAACCACAATGGGAGATCATCTCACTCCAGTAAGAAAGACTACTCTTGAAAAGACTGAGAACAACAAGTGCTGGTGAGGATGTGCAGAAAAGGCAATCCTTCTACACTGCTGGTGGGAATATATAGCACAGTCACTATGGAAAAGCACTATGGCGATTCCTCAAATGTTCAAATTAGGCCAGGTGTGGTGGCACACACCTGATCCAGTAACTCCATGCCTGCATACACATTCAAAGGAAAAGTCCAAGAGAGCATGTCACAGAGACACCTACACTCCCATGTTCCTCTGAACATTATTCTCAACAGCCAAGAAATAAAAATAAATTTATCTTCCAACCAATGAATAAAGATGTGGTACATACAATGCAATAGTATTCAGCCTTAAGAAGGAATGAAATCCTGTCATTTGTAACAACATAGATGGAGTTAGAGATCATTATGCAAATAAGTTAGATACAGAGAGAGAAAAGTGCCATACCATCTTAATCATATGTGGAATTTTTAAAATTTGAATTTTTTTTTTAAAGACAGGGTCTCCCTGTAGCCCCAGCTGGCTTGCAACTCAACTTCACAGAGATCTGCCTGCCTCTGCCTCATGAGTGTATGCCACCATGCCCAGATAAAAAGCTCATCTTAAAGAAACAGTATAATCATACCAACTGGACGGAACAGTAGAAGGAAATGAGGGGATCATGAAAGGTTGAGCAGTTCTGATGTGTATCAACAAGCAAGGTGTGGTGGTTTGAATGAGAATGTCCCTCATAGGCTCCAAGTATTTGGGCATTTTGTCCCCAGTTGGTGGCGCTGTTTTGGGAGGTCTTAGAAGCTGTGACCATGCTGAAGGAAGCACATCACTGGGGGTGAGCTTAGAGAGTTCTTAAGCCTTGCCATATTTCCAGTCACTCTCTGCTTCCTGTGCCTATTTAAAATGTGAGCCCTTAGCTTCTGCTCCTACTCCAGCCACCTCCCCATCATTATGGTCTCTAATTCCCCTGGAATCATAAGCTCAAATAAACTCTTTCTTTTACAAGTTCCCTTGGTCACAGTGTTTTAGCAAAGCAACAAAAAAGTAACTAATATATAAGGCAACCATAATAATCAATTATACATTTAATAAAGCTGGATGAAAGGATTTGAAAGTTTTTACCATAAAGAAATGATGTTTAGGAAGATCGATATGTTTAACCTGATTTAAACCTTATGCAATGTACACGTACATCAAAACACTATGTTATTCTATGAACATGTATAATTTTGATGTTCTAATTTATCAGTTAAAATGAATTTAATTAAAAAAAATGACCAGTTTTTATTTCAGCATGATGTGGTGTCGGAGTCTAAATTTTCCAAGGAATGTAAAAAATATGAGCGCTTGAAGACCAAATGAAATAAATATGGGTTTGGACAACAGCAATTTCAAAACAGGGCCATGAAATATGTGTTCAAAGGTAATGTCCTGCATAACTCCTGCCTGACTACACACTGCCCTGCTCAGCAGATGCCTTGCACAGTTCTTAGATAATCTAGAGTCTTACGAAACTACGAAAATGTAAGTAAGTTTAGATCAGAAAAAAAAAATCATTTAGATTTAGGAGGCAGAAGCACCTGAAGATGATCGCCTTAGACCCTCCAGAAGACAATGGCCACTGTTCTCTGTCCAGTGTCTGAAAAGATGACAGAAGCTAACTGAGAGGTTTTCATCACTGTGTTTCAATTCCCAGTGTCTACCTGTCAGCTCGAAATTGTACCATGTAATCCTTCAAATCTACAGAATAAACACAATTAAACCATAAATGAATATTTACAGGCAGTCTGAAAAGACAAATCATTATGAAGGCATTTTTGTTCTTGGCTAGTCTAAACCTAAGCAGGAAAGGTCAGCCAGAACTCCACAGCTGAGGCACCACAGAAAGTGTATTTAACCCAGACACAGCTAGGGGAAGCAACTCTGTGGTCCCCACCTTTGAGGTGGCTCCAGGAGTGATGACGGGGACAAACAACAGAATCACCTGCACGAGCACAGGAAAATATGTGGCAACTGTGGCCCAAAGAAACTGTGAGCAGCTGGGCCATTTTAGGTTGCTTGGAGCTTTGGTACCAAGACTCACTGGCTTCTGCCCCTTGGCCTACTCTCACGTGCTGGTGGTATTGGCACCAGAGCTGTCTGCCAGGTCCCAGTGCTTGGCTAGCCTGACTGGCCCTTCGGAATATAATCAACCCCATGAACAATTCTTTAGTGTATACAATAAAAAAACACATGAGTTTGTTTCAATAGAGCATATTAACAGAAAGCCATATGCCAAAGTGGTTGAAGAAAATGAACATCCTAAGTGGGAAGGGGAGCACTCTTCCTGGGAAGTGTCTTAAGACTTAAAACGATACTACAAACAACCAAATACAAACATCTAGCATTAAAATAAGCTGCTTATATTTTTCAATTTCTAAAAATGTCTCACATGGAAAAATTGTGGATTCTCAAAAAAAAAAAATCAAACTTGTCAAAACCAAATACATACAATTTACTTGCTTCCCTACTTCAATAATCATATAAAATCAAAATTTATACATCAGCAGTATTTATATATGGAGAAAAAAGGTAATATATTTAGTTTCTGCTGAGCTATATTTGCAGAGGCAGACTTTTCCATGTAACTCCAAAAGGACAGATTTTACAAACTCAAAAATGTTGCATACTAACATTATGTGCAAATGAAACACATACATCCACCCGTAGGCTTGGCCTCACAGTGAGCATCCTGCAAGAGGGAGTAGGCCTTAGTCACTTTCTCGTCACTGATTCTGACCTCAGTACCTGACTTACTACAGGAATTCAGTAAATGTAGAAAAAGAGCTTGCCTAAGTTTAGAAAAAAGCTTAGTTAAGAATAAGAAATAAAAACAAAATTGTAAAGGGAGCTAAACAATAAGAAAATTATTTAAAATAACATTTCAACTTCAAAGTTCAAAAAAAGTTTCTTTGAAAGTTGGCTGGCTTTTAGTCCCAACACTCGGGAGGCAGAGGCAGGCGGATCTCTGGAAGATTGAGGCCAGCCTGGTCAGGCCAGCTGGGGCTACTGGGAGAGCCTGTCTCAAAAAGCAAAAATAAGAAAGTCAACAAAATATTTTAAAATAAATTGTTCTCTAAATTACAAGTCAATCTCCTCTCTATGATCAATTTTTTTTATATAATGTGCAGAGCTTGGTGTTAACTGCAAAGGACCTTAAAATGGTATAATATATAAAACACACCTTTTTCACTTTTGTATAATGTAAGCACATTAGTTTATTAATCAGGCAAAATTTCTGTACGTAGGCTCTAATTCCTAATGTTTACTGTGCCAAGTGCTGTGTACTCAGTAGCTAGCTGTTTAGCCAGTACTGAAGACCATGATCCTCCCCCCACCCCTGAATCTTGTTGAAGGAAATAAAGCAATGTACAAAAGAAATTCTCACTTTGTTGAATAGTGGAAAAAATTCAAAATTCCAATTTTCTCCTTAAAAACGTATGTCAGAGGTTATTGCTGGAAGATGAATATCCTAAAAAAAGGATGCACAACTAATGATTTTTTTAAAACTTAAATTTTAAGATTCTTTGTATGTATTAGAACAGCTTTATAAAATGAAGTTGAACATCAGTTTTTGATATGTTAGAAAATTATCTTCTGTTTATTACATCTTAAGCATAAAGCTAATAGGTTGTTTTTTGAAATACTGCTTTTAAAACAAAATAACTTATAGCCAGGCATGGTGCCTTCCACCATGTAATCCTAGCACTTGGAAGACTGAGGAGGAGGACTTCAACGAGTTTGAGACCAGCCTGGGATAGATATATAGTGAGCTCTGGGTCAGCCTGAGCTACTGTGATACCACCTCCCCTACCAAATCCCCCCCCCTCAACTAAACAAAACAAAAAATAAATAACAACAAACTCATATTCTCCAAATTGTTTTTTTTTTTTTTTTTTTTTGGTCGTTTTGAAACAGGGTCTCCCTGTAGCCCCAGCTGTCCTAGAACTCACTATGTAGACCAGGCTGGCCTTGAACTCACAGAGATCTGCCTGCCTCTGCCTCCCAAGTGCTGGGACTATAGGCGTGCATCACCACGCCCAGCTATCTCCAAGTATTTTTAAACTGAGAATTGTATAAAACCATACTGATTTTGTATGAGTTAGAAACAGCATCACAAAGTCACCCATAGATGATCATGTGTACCTTTGACATCCTGAGCCTCACGAAGGAGCTCAGTAACCTCTCTCTCTGCCTCCTTCAGTCTGTCCTCAAACGCTTGATCTGTCACCATCTCGTCCCCAGTCCCAAGGTTTGATATGAGACTCTCTAACTCCTGTAGTTTCACTCGATGTTCAGCAACCTAAACATGATAGAGGAAAAACAGAGAATTCAACTGTACTTGCTGCAGGGATCAGAGAGGCACGCTAGGAATCCGTAGGTCTGTATCCCGCAGATAGGGCTACTTAAATAGACACGCTGGGTAGCTTTCTCTGGCTTCAGAAGAAAGCTTTCAGCACCATTCTTTTGCCTGTACACACTCTGCCAACAGTTCTTCAGGTCTGAACTCTCCTTAGGTCTCTGACAGACATCTCAAACTACACCTCTAAAATTTCTGGGCCATCTCAGTAAACAACATCTCTAGCTACCGTAAGCAGAAGACCCAAGGCCCATTCTTGATTCCTCTCTTTCCCTACCCTGGTCTCTCACCACACATATTTATCCTTGTCCATTCAAGAACTCCTCTAGGCCCCATCCTAGCTATCATTCTTCATGTAGTCAGGAAGCTCCTTTTAAAATGCAACTGGACTTCCATACATTCCCAGTGGAATTTTATTATGGTCCATATGGTTCTATATAACCTGTCGCTAACAAATTCCCTTCACAGGGCAGAACCTAGCCAGCTTCTAGGGTCCAGGCCCTTGTCTACCACACTCTTTGTAGCTGGAAGAGCCTGCCATTCTTCTCACATGGTACCCTCCTCCTCCTTGAGATCTGCTTCACAGGGGCTGGAAAGAGGACCTGGGCTTGGTTCCCAGCACTAACATAATAGTTAACAACTGTATGAAACTCCAGTTCCAGGGGATCTGTGCTCTCTTCTGGCTGCCACAAGCATTACATGCACAGGTGCACTTACGTGCATGCAGGAAAAACACGCATATACACAAAATAATAAATCAAAAAAGATTTTTTAAAAATCTCACATCCCAGAAGTTCCTTATGGAGGTCTTGTGTAGTTTCCCATAGTCATTATCTTTTTGTAGTATTTTATTTATTATTTTTATTTTATATATATGAGTATATTGCCTGCACATGTATAAGTGCAATGTGCACAGAGATCAGAAGAGGGCATGAGATTCCCCTGGGAACTAGAGTTACAGATGGTTGTTAGCTGCCATATGGATGCTGGTAATAAAACCTGGGTCCTGTACAAGAGCAGCCAGTGCTCTTAACTTCTGAATCATCTCTCCAGCCCCCAGAATCATTTTTATATTCTCTCTGCCACTTATCTCAGTATTTCTTTTACAGTCGTTTTGGTCATTTGCCTCCCAACTAGAACTTAAGTTTCTAAGAAGAGAGATCATGCCTAACTTTTTCACTATTTTTTCCTCTGGCATTTAGTGAGCACAAAGTTTTCATTTGACATCTGCTGAACAAATGAATGCCCTGCTGACAGCTCACCTTATCCTTTACCAGCCGGTAACAAGCTGGACACTCCTGGCAGCCAGGCCAAGACCGATTGTAGAAATAGTTCTCTTCACACTGGTCACAGCGACTTCCCACAAAGCCTTCCCTGCATTCACAATGACCATCATTTTTGCACTGGAGTGAAATGGACCCCTCGTGGTGACAGTCACAAGCTACAGAATGAGAAGACAGTACATAATAAGCAAGAGAAGGAAGACTGTATATTTTTAAAACTCGGACTGTATTGCCATTGTAAGTACTTAAAAAAAAATCTATTTATGAGAATGTAAATGGTTAAGTCCTCCTAGGACATTTTAAAAGGAATAAGTTGTGAAGCAAAATGTGCATACTTTGGGACAGACTCTGTGTGTGTGTGTGTGTGTGTGTGTGTGTGTGTGTGTGTGTGAGTGCACATTAGGTGCATGTGCCTATGGAGGCCAGAGGTCAACACCTGGTCTCTCCTCTGTCATTTTCCTTACTTTCTGAGACAAGGCCTCTCACTGACCGCCAAGATTGGCTGGCTAGTGAGCTCTGGGATCCACCTGTCCAGCACTGGGGTTATAGACATGCACACAGATCTTACAAGGTACTAGGGATCTGGAACTCAGGTCCTCTCTGCTGTGTGGCAAGTACTTTACCATGATTGAGCTATCTCCCCAGTCCCTTTGGGGCACACTGCATGTTACTTAGTAAGTACAGATATGCCAGGCAAGGTGGAGGTAGAGAAAGGGGGATGGGGAGTTTGAGCCAGCCTTAACTACACAACAAGATCTTGCCTCAAAAAAATTGATAGACGTTAGTCAATTATCAGTGCTCTTTTTCATACACTTTCAAGAACTGATTGTTACCTTCATCTCTCAATTGCTTGTATTTCTCTAAACAAACAAGAAAACCCAATGCCAATGCTCCTCTTGAATTATTTTATAGCTTGTTTCCCCACTTTGTCCTCTGAACTGAGTCAGTGACTTATGCTACATTCCACAGGAGAAATGAAGGAATTCAGAAAGCAAAAAAAAAAAAAAAAAAAAAAAAAAACCAAACTGTTCTGAGGCCCAGTTCCAGGCATGTGTTTATGCCAAGGAACAGCAGATGTTTATATGCAACCGTACCAAAATGGCCCTCAGGATGGGAAGCAACTATAGCCAATAAGTCAACAAACACACTGTGAACAGAATCCATCACTTTCATTACCTGCACTAACAATGTGATCATTAAACAAGTCTCATTAAACAGAGTGGGCAAACTCAGTATTTAAAGGGAGATTTTCTTTAGAAAAACAAAACATTAGAAAGTGGAATACTTTTTAAAAAGATATTTATATAAAAAGAGGACTGTCAATAAGGTGGTTACTAAGGAACTGAAAAGCCCTTGATTTCTAGAGTTTTCCAATATTCATGAACTAAAATGTCCACGATGGCCACATAGAAGCTGTCAAGGACCTTTCTGGATATAAGGTCAGGAGTCAGGAGACAAAAGAGCACGCTGACAGATCTTACGTTTGCAGCCTTCAGGTCCAAACCCAAAATGGTTGGCCTCACAGCGTTCACAGTGCTGACCGGTGACGCCAGGCTGGCATTCACACTGACCGGTGCGTATGTCACACTGTCCATTGGTGGAACCCAAAGCATGGCAGTCACATCTGAAAAAGAACACAGGACATTTCTAGGGTAATAGTAAACAAGCAAACCAGATTGTAAGCAAAACTATGCAGTTCTTCAGCATATTCTCTATCAAAAAGCAGCATGTTAAGGATTATTAAGGCAGAATGGTAAGGGTTATCAAGCCCCTCAGGTTCCAGGCCTTCCTTTGAGTACTGTTCATGCCCAACCTCTACGAGCTGTCTGCAAAGTGAAAGCCTATGGGCCCTGGCCAGGAACTCAGAGAAGAGATTCCTAAGCAGTAGCCCTGCAGGGTCTCGCCTCAGAAAGAACTTTGCAGCCTGTAGCTTTAAAATGTTACTCAGAGCCAGGTGATGGGCCAGCTCGGCTACAAAAGAGGATAGCTGCTGCAGGCCAGGTGGAACTTTCCAGAATGGTGGTAAGAGGCAGAGGAGCAGTGTTGGTGTGGCCAAGCTCGCAGTGCTACATGTCTTCCTGCTCCCCTTGGTGCCAGCTGTAGAAAATGGTGAAAGAAACCACTTAACTGTAATGTTTTGGGGGGTCCAACCCAATGCCACCCAGGAAGAATTGAAAAAGGCATACAGGAAACTGGCCTTGAAGTACCACACTGATAGGAATCCAAATGAAGGAGAAAAGTTTAAACAGATTTCTCAAGCTTATGAAATTCTCTCTGATTCCAAGAAAAGAGAGTTATATGACAAAGGAGAGCAGCCCATTAAAGAGGGTGGAGCGGGAGGTGGTTTTGGCTCCCCCATGGACATCTTTGACATGTTTTTCGGAGGAGGAGGAAGAATGCAGAGAGGAGAGGTAAAGATGTTGTGCATCAGCTCACAGTAACCTTAGAAGACTTATCTAATGGTGCAACAAGAAAACTGTCTCTGCAGAAGAATGTGATGTGTGACAAATGTGAAGGGTGAGGTGGTAAGAAAGGAGCAGTGGAGTGCTGCCCCCACTGCCAGGTACTGGCATGCAAATAAGGATTCATCAGCTAGAACCAGGAATGGTGCAGCAAATTCAGTCTGTTTGCATGGAGTGCCAGGGTCATGGAGAATGGATCAGTCCTTAAGACAGATGTAAAAGCTTCAATGGAAGAAAGATTGTTTGAGAGAAGATTTTAGAAGTTCATATTGACAAAGGCAAGAAAGATGGCCAGAAGATAACATTTCATGGTGAAGGAGACCAAGAACCAAGGAGATATTATCATTGTGTTTTCACTCGCCGAGGAGAGGACATTTTCATGTGTATGGACATACAGCTATTTAAAGCACTGTGTGGTTTCCAAAAGCCAGTATCTACTCTGGACAACCGAACCATAGTCATCACTTCTCACCTGGGACAGATTGTCAAGCATGGAGATAGCAAATGTGTGCTGAATGAAGGTATGCCAATATACCGTCGACCATATGAAAAAGGACGTCTAATCATTGAGTTTAAGGTAAACTTTCCTGAAAATGGCTTTCTCTCTCCTGATAAACTCTCTTTGCTGGAAAAACTCCTTTCTGAGAGGAAGAAGTAGAAAAGACTGACGAAATGGATCAGGTAGAACTATTGGACTTCGATCCAAATCAGGAAAGACGACGCCATTATAATGGAGAAGTCTATGAAGATGATGAACATCACCCCAGAGCTGGTGTTCAGTGTCAAACCTCTTCATGGGGCCAGTGAGTTAACACTACTGGCATTGTTCATGCAGCAGTGAATGAGTGAAGGACTGTAATAATATGCTCACTACTTGGCTATTGTTTTTGTTTTAATAGTCAAATATAGTAGTGCTTTAAAAGTTAAATGAATAAACACAAATATAAAAGCCCTGAAACAAAAATGTTACTCAGATAATTCTGATGTAGCCGGGGCCCTGCTGTGTGTTATACCTCTGTCCCACTAGCGGCTGGCTTCCCTTCCTCAGGCACTACTTCTACATATTGCCTTTCCCACATAAGGCACAAAACAATTGCTAAACAGCATCAAGCCAGCCATTAGCTGTAACTTTAAAATGAACATCTTATGATTCAGAAAGCAAAGACGTCTTCTGCCAAAGGCACTGATGTCTCACCTCTCACAGCCTTGCCCGCTCTGCAGGTTGTAGAAGCCAGGGTCACAAGCACCACAGTCCCGGCCAGACACGTGAGGCAGGCACTCACACTGCCCTGTCACAGGGTTACAGTTGCTCTGCTGCTTCACCGTCCCATATGAATTGCAAGCACAGGCTAGGGTGGGAAGACAGAGACCGCAGAAGATGCAGATCAGAGAGAAGAATAAACATAAAAGGCTCAAATGGATTCTTCAGACTTATACTGTCTAGTACTGAAGTTGCTGGTCACATAGCCATGGAGCACCTGAAATGTGGCAGGTTAATTTAAAGAGAGATATGCTATCAATATGAAATATACACTAGATTTTGAAGACTTAGTGTAGAAAAAAATTCATTTTGTTAACACCTTTCTATTATTTGTTAAAGCAATAATATGTTGAGTATATTAGGCTGAACAAAATATATTAAAGTTAATCCTTCTGTTTCCTTTTAATATCTTATTATTTTTATTTTTTATGTGTATGCGTGTATTGCCTACACGTAGGTAAGTCCACATGTTGTGCAATGCCCGCGGAGGACAGAAGAGGCCGTTGGAGCCCCTGGAACTGGAGTTACAGTTGTTAGCTGCCATGCGGGTGCTGGGATTCGAACATGGGTCTTCTGCAAGAACAGCCAGTGTTCTTAACTGCTGAGCCATCTCTCCATCCCTGTTTCTTTTTTTAAAATGTGGTGTCTAGAGTCTGAAATTATGCAAGTGGGGGCTGGAGAGATGGCTCAGTGGTTAAGAGTATTGGCTGCTCTTGCAGAGGACCTGGGTTCAAGTCCCAGCACCCACATGGTGGCTAACAACATCCTTAAGTCCTGTTCCAAGGGCTCCAACATCTTCTGACCTCCTTGGGCACTGCGTAACATGGGTGCACATACATACATGCAGGCAATACATTCATACACATAAAATTAAAATAATAAATATTTTTAAAATCATGCAAGTGGTTCACACTGTATTTCCACAGAATGATGCTGCATTTGACCAAATTTCTGTGAGTGCTTAAAGAGGGACACAATAAATTTACACATAAAAGGTATATGTATCACCAAATCTGACCAGTGGATGATTACCTTTGCATTTGTCTGCTGGACTAGGAGCCAGGGGATTTCCAAAAAATCCTTCTTTGCAGCGGTCACAGTAGAAGCCAGCAGTGTTATAGATGCACTTCAGGCACTCTCCTGTCAAGCGGTTGCAATTGCCCACTGCGTTGGGGTCAATGTTGTCATTGCACTGGCACAGGCGGCACAGCCTCACAGGCCCGTTTCTTCCCAGAGGGTCTCCAAAGTAGCCGTCATCACAGAGCTCACACCTCTTGCCTGGGGAATGAGACAATCTATATTAAGAAAGAAAAGCCTTGGACATTTCTGGTGTTGATCACCACTGAGTAAATACTGTCTACTCTAACCATCACATGTAAGGTGTCACGGTGCAGTGGAGAGCAGGGGACCTGGACTGTGGCCCTGGCACTAGGCCAGACCAGTAGGGTAACCCTGAGTATATTTTCAGTCATCAGTAGAAAGACAGCCACTGGTGTGTCTACCTCATTTCAAATGCTCTAACAATCAAGATCATGCTAAAATGCTTGGTAAATGAGGCAGATCCAAGGTTTACCAGCCTCTGCATTCCCATTACAGATTCCCATTCCCATTCATAGATTTCAGCTGAAATTGAAAAAGATGAAGTGCTACTTTTGATGCTGTAAGTTTTCCAAAGAACAGGGTGAGTAGGGTCCCTCTTAACTTACAGAAGGTACATACTATGCCTAGTTGAATGCTGTCAACCTATACAGAACCAGAGATTTCTAGAAGGAAACTTAGGTATCATCTACTGCCTGCTTGTGTCAGGAATAAAGCAGAGCTAGACGCGGGCTCTTTCTATCGCACTAAACTCACTGCTCCTCTTTTTTTTTTTTCCACTTCTCTTCCATTGTCAGCTCAGATTGGGCCCTTGATATCTTTGTAGCCAATGGGAGCTAAATGAGTCTAAAATTTCTGGACAATTAGAAGTTTGTTCACTGATTGACTAAACGATTGTTTGTGAGCATCTGCTGTATGCAAAAGCATTCTTCGATGGTGGATATGGTTTCTGCTCCCATGAAGCTTATGCTGCAGTCAAGGGGGAGGATCAGCACATATACACAAAGACAAAAAGCATTAAACTAAACACAGAGACAGGTAAAGTGATAGAGTGAGGGTAAGGACTACTTTAGATTGGAGTGAGAAAAGGCTTCTCTAAGGAGACTTTGGGGTAAGAATCCAAAAACGAAAAAGTCTTCTAGAGACATATCCAAGGGAATAATGCCTCTGACAAGCAAGGCCAAGGATGAAAGCAGTACTAATTAACCGCCATAGGCGCATGACGGTGACAGAAAAAAAAGTCTGGATTTAAATTTAAAAGCAGTGCATACTGTTGGAAGTTTTAAAAGTGATTCGAGGATATGGAAGTGACTCCAAACAGGAAGAGGCCAAAAAAAAAAAAAAAAAATCTGCGACAATGAGTCAAAGTGGAACCACAGCCACCATGAACAGCAAAGGTCGATATCCAACACAGCCTACCTAGCAACCTCCTGGGAATCCAGTATATCCTCAGACCTTGCATCTTCCTCAGGCTCCACCCTATACAGATGCTCCACCAGCATACTCAGAGCTCTATTGCCCAAGCTTTGTTCATCCAGGGACTGCCAAGGTCCCCACCATGTCAGCTGCATTTCCTAGCACCTCTCTGTATCTGCCTATGGCCCAATCTGTGACTGTTGGGCCTTTAGGTTCCACAATCCCCATGGCTTATTATCCAGTTGGTCCCATCTATCCACCTGGCTCAGCAGTACTGGTGGAAGGAGGGTATGATGCAGGTGCCAGATTTGGAGCTGGCGCTACCACTGGCAATATTCTTCCTCCGCCTCCTGGATGCCCTCCTAATGCTGCTCAACTTGCAGTCATGCAGGGAGCCAACGTCCTTGTAACTCAGCAGAAGGGAAACTTCTTCATGGGTGGCTCAGATGGTGGCTACACCATCTAGTGAGACAGCACTGCCACCTTTGGCAGGAAAGACCTCACATACTTCAGCACTTCTCACCATGTGACTGCTTTAGTCACATTAACCTGAAGTTGCAGTTTAGACACATGTTGTTGGGGTGTCTTTCTGGTGCTCAAACTTTGAGGCACTTTTCAAATTTAATAAGAAACCATGTAAGGGTAACAGTACCTCCCTAAAGCATTTTGAGGTAGGGGAGGGTCTCCTTTCATCAAATCACTGTGGATGAAGCAGTCCTACAGATCTTCCTTTAATTCCTCTGGAGTAAAACTGTACCGTACTGGTCTTTGCTTTTAGTAATAAAACATCAAATTAGGTTTGGAGGGAACTTTGATCTTCTTAAGAATTAAAGTTACCAAGTTATTCTGATTGGTCTTTAATCTCCTTTAAGTCTTTGGTTTATATTACTCGTTAAATCAAACACATTAGTTGTCTGCCTTTTCCTTTTGGTCCTCTGCCCCCTGTGCACCCTGTCCCTAGTCTTCCATCCCCTCCCACCAGTCTCCATTGAACCAGTGGTGCAGCAGAAAGCCAGTCAGATGAATTTCCTTCTCTCCCTGGCTTGTCCCACTTGCCATTTTCAGGCTCTTTGACAAGGATGCTCTGAAGCCCCCTGTGCTCTAAGCACAGACCCAGTTTCTTCAGCTTTTGTATTTCTTCAGTCAAAAGTGAAGGGTGCCTTTTGGTCCTTCCTCATAGACTGTCTCTGCATCACGAATCCAACCCAAATTTGCTTTGGTGCCAGAAAAACAGAACTTTAAACAAAAGATATCAGTGTAAATGGTTCCATAAACGTTTCTTTAAAGTATTATGGCTAGGGAAGAATATGCATGACAAAGGCTGGATTTAGAGCCAAAAGAAGGGGAGTTTTTAGATGAAAAATTATCATTTTCTCAGTGTCTGATGCAGCCACTCAGGGCTTCCAAGAATTCCCAAATAGGTTAATAGGATCAGGCTGTAAATGCCTCACTAGAAAATGACTTGAGTCCAGTGAAATTGCCTTAGGATTAATATTTCAGAGATCCTTAATATTTTGATTTTTGTTTTTGGAAATTGGATTTTATTTTATTTTAGCTTGTAATTTCAGTTCATCTAAATCTTGTGTCCTGTACATGTGATGTTTGACTGTGCCACTGACTGTTATGGAAGTTCAGCGTTGTATGTCTTTTTCTACACTGTGGTGCACTTAACTTGTGGATTTTTTAATACTAAAAATGTAGAAGACTATTTTGAAGATCTGAAAAATAAAATAAAATAAAATAAAATAAAATAAAAGTGATTCGATCACCACTAGGTGTGGTAACATACACTTGGGATCTTTGCATTTGGGAGGCTGAAGCAAAAAGAAAGGTGATCAAAGGGTATCCAAGAGAACAGAGCAGTAAATCCAGGAGAGTGGCGGGGGCCCAAAGGCAAGGGGAGACAACGGAGCAGAGGGCAGCAGAGTCTAGCATGGCTGAGCTGCTGAGCAGAACTGAACACTGACCACTAGACCTGACAAACACAAACACAGGCAATGAGCCGAGCAGGAAATATGGGTGGAGGCTGGGCAGAAAGAAGGAAAGGAAACAGGATGCAGGAGAAAATGAGGATGAGGACCCTCCTAGCCCTGTTGTGAGCAGCCACTAGACTCCCCCAGAGCTCTCCAGATGAGCCCGAGGGCACATTCCAGCTATGCCTCCTCATTAGACAATGACGGTGATATGCCAGTGAGCCCCAGCCACCTCATGGGTCAGCACAGGCAGCTGTGAGTAGCTAGGACCGATCTAATTTTATGTTCTTTGGACAAAGAATGGAATGTATAGAATGGGAAGAAATATCTACTTAAAGCTCCAAAGCATCCCTTCCCACGTTAACATGATAGACTTGGATGTGCTGAGAGGAGGATTCATAAAAAGAATTTTAAAATTGCCACTTCCTATTAACACTTCCAGACAGCCCTACAAATTGAAAATCCAGTTTGGGTTCGCATCTAAGAGAGACTATAGTACAGTGATTGTTATCTTTGGAGTCACACAGCCTGAGTTGCAGCCCTAGCTCCAGTGTCGTGTCATGTAGCACTGGACATGAAACGCAAGGTCTCTGTTCCTCAGTTTTCTTAGCTCTAGCATGGGAATGACAGAATTTATATCACAGGTTGTGAAGACTACTGAGGCAGCACAAGTGAAGGCTGACTTGAGTCCAGAACCCTGAACACAGATGAGAAGGCTAGACTCACCAGTGGTGCCAGTTGGACAGTTGGTACACACCACCTCTGTTGTCTTGGGGACTACAGCACAACTTGAACCCCCAGGACACGGACAAGGTTGGCAGTCGGAAGAGGTGCCCAGGGTTGAATCTCCATAGTACCCGTCGCTACACTTCTCACAGTGGGGGCCAGCTGTATTGTCTCTGCAGTTACAGACACCTATTTGGAGAGCAGGTATGAGATATCAGGCAGGTATACAGTAAATAAGACAATGAGAAATCAGAGCTTCTAACATTAGCAAAAGGGAAGTCAGGGCCTGCAGCGGCCGTGGACCTTCTCACCTGTCTCAGGGTCACAGGTCTCACTGTGTCCGTTGCAGGTACAGAGCACACACGGACTATAAGGTCCAAGACTTGGAGTTTCTCTTCTGTAGCCTGAGAGGCATGTCTCACAGAACTGTCCTCCATATCCCATTGGACAGGTGCAGGACTCCACCCAAGTTGCAGGGACCCCAGGCCCAGGACGAGCACTTGTCAAGGTGACATCATCTAAATATCCAGCACCTGTGTGTGGTATGGCAAAGAGACTCAGTAAAGCGTCTTCCAGTTTCCAAAAAGTCAGAAACTCAGAAGAGTAGCCAGACCCAAGAGTCCAAACGACCCAAACATAGGTTCATTCACTGGAGAAGATAATCAGAAAACAGCATTTAAGACAATCATATGGTACAGAGTGTTAAGTACTTGGAGTAGTGGTATGGCAAACTTATATTCAGACAGACAGACAGACAGACAGACACAGACACAGACACACACACACAGGATTCTATACTTCTCACAAATATGCAATAATTCCAAAGTCATTAGGCCAAATGTCACAATGGTTTTCCACTTGTGTAAGATAAAGAAAGTTTGGGGCTGGAGAGGGGGCTCAGTGGTTAAAAGCACTGGCTGCTCTTTCAGAGGACTCAGGTTCATATCCCAGCACCCAGATGGCCCCTAATAACCATTCCAGGGGAATCTGATGCCCTCTTCTGACTCTGTGGGCACTGCACGACACAGGTGCACTTACATACATGGAGGCATAACACTCATACACATAAAATATAAATAAATTTTAAAAGTTAAGAAAAAAAGCTTATATTAAATTAGACTAATGGTTCATCCACTCTAGGACTGTTGAATACTATCAGCAGCATGTTCCAAGAAAGTAAAAGTAGGCCTTGGAAATGCCATCACATGGCCTTTTAGTTTCTATTCTACTTAAGTCTTGAGCAGCATTATGCTTAAAGAATATTTCCCCCATCTTATGAAAGATTACTTACTGTTTATATAATTCACTGGAAACTGACCACCCAGGCTGAAGATACTTCTATTACTGGCTCAAACTTAACTTTAATATGTTTGTGGGTTTTTGTCCAATCTGATTATGAGGTTTGATTTCTCTGGTTAATGTGCTTCTAAACAGTCCATATCTCCCTAATCTAAAAATGCCCTTCCTTCAATCTTGTTCCTATTCCTAAATCATAATTCATTTCTTTTCGTCCCTTACAGCCAAACTTCTTCAAAGAATATTCTTTTTAAAAAAATATTTTATTTATTTTATGTGTATGAGTGTTTTGCCTGCATGTATACAAGGGCACCACTGTCATGCAATGCCCATGGAGGTCAGAAGACAACGCTGGAGCCACTGGAAGAGATGGTTGTTAGCCACCATGTGGGTGCTGGGACTCAAACCTGGATCTTCTGCAAGAGCAGCCAGTGCTCTTAACCACTCCAGCGGTTAAATAATGTTCTTTATTCTACCTCTTTACATTCAAATTATTTTTCAGAGCCCTGCAATCTGACTTCAGTTGCAACACTTCTTTAAGAAAACCAAACCCCAACTCCTGACCCTCCTTACTCAACCACCCAATCCAGAACCCAACGTGCTATTGTTTAAGCCTATACTAATATTTTCTCCTTCAAATTATTTTCTCCCTCAGGCCTCAGTACAGAACTCAACAGTGTTCTAGGATTCCATCCTCTTCTCTGCTTTTTGTCATATTTCCAAGTTTAAAAGCCAGCACATTTAAAGTTTAAAATGCTGACAACCTTCTTAATCTACATCTTTTCCAAGGGCCCAGATTCACATTAGTAGCTACTTAATAAGACTTTTTATCTGGATAGTCATGCAGAGATCTTAAACCAAACACAGAAACGATCCAACCAAACAAAACAACACATTGGGGCTACTCCTGCCTCTCCCACCGTCACACCCACACCCTGGCTCCATCTTCCCCAAACAGCTGTGCCTCAACAGAGAAGAAGGCCCTCACTGAAAAGTTCCTGAAGGCATATTTTTTAAAACTTTGTTTATATAAAATCACAGCAAATGTTCACTGAATATTTAATTTCTCATAATTTAGTCAATGGTTCAAATCACTTGATACTTACATAGCAGCAAATAAAAGAAATGAAGGCTAAGCAACTTGAACTGTAGAATTATAATTAGACTTTCAGAAAGTCTATATACAATGAACTTCAATTGGATTATTAATTATAAAACAATACTCATTTTAGCAAATTTTCTCCAGGTCCTTCAAGATAGTTTCAAGATACATTTTTATACGTAGTTGATATATAATAAGGCAGTTTACTTCTTTGGATCAGTATTATAGTAATAGAACAGGTAAACTTTTTCTTTACCATGGATCCTTCTACCTTAACTCTCCTAAATCACATCCTAACTTACTTCTTTCACTGTATGTCCCACGGATCTTGATAGAAGTCAAATTGTTTAGAAGCTTCTGAAATTCAAAAGGGGAAAGAGTAGGCCTCCAAGGGTAATCTGTTGCTTCATGGAGTCTGGAGAAAAAGAAAGGGAACATAACCTCTGTAAGGATAATCCTGGGTGCAAAGAAGGCATTTCTTGCTGACTGATGCCACCCATAGTGCAATGCTCTGACAACTTAACCAAATCAAAAAGAGGACTGCCAGTTTGGCAGTACACCTAGAAAAGAGAAAGATAAAGGCTCATCTGGATAACAAATGAAACAACAAAAAAACAAAAGTTGTTTTTTTTGTTCTCCTCAAGGGAATCTTGCTAAGTAGCCCAGACCAGCCATGAGCTCCTGGCAATCCTCCCACCTTGGTCTTCAGAGCTCTGGGACTACGGGCATGAGCCACATCTAGCCTAGAAATTTTTCTTTAACACATGCCTAGAAGTTAGATCGGCTTAAAGAACCTGCTTTCTCAACTAGTCAGGTCTGACTGGACAAAGAAGGCCTCACCTGAAGATGTACTTCCCAGTGGTCTCACTAGGATAGGAATTTCCCTGAGCAATTAAGGGCACAGACACTCTCAAGCCGGCTCCCTCAAGTACAAGATCTTCTGCAGAGAGGCGAGTGTCCCGCCTGTCCACTCGGAAGGAGAAGGAGAGGTTCTGCCCGTAGCTCAATACCTGGTTGCCCAAGAACTTTGCTGAAAGACAAACATGAGGTTGGGTCAGAATGTGAGAACGGGACAACAGAGAAGCCAGATAGAGAGGGACTACGGAGAAACAGCAGAGACACAAGGGACTACGGAGAAGCAACAGAGAGACAGGCTGCTTTCCAGCCTCACTTACCAGGCGCGACGAAGTACCTCGGAAAGTAGCTATCTGAGATCACAGCAATGTCTTGCCTCTCAGAGGACCACTCGAGAGACGCTTCTGAGCCATCTCTCTGCTCCACACGCCACCCTTCCTCATCTGCAGGCAGAGAATGAAGACACAAGCACTTTTACATGCTAGACATCCTGAATGCTGGTGCGCTATATCCCACAAAAATGTGTAAGACTGCACCTTGTATATATAGAGGAAGTCATCAATAAAAGGTTTTGAGTAGACAGATCCTACAACAGTACCTAAATAATATAACCCTGCCAGGTACACTTTGCTGTATTATTTATGTAACATTTGTGGTCACTGCTCACTATAGTAAATTCTAAAACCACATGTATATTTTAATTAAATATGCATATTAAAATCATGCATATTAAGTAACATGAAATATTCCCAGTATCAAAAAACCTTCTGAGTAAAACAAACAATAACAAAAAACAAACAAACAAACAAAAAAACAAACATGTTAAGTGTGATTTCGGAATTCTAGAGGCCAGCGAAATAAGGGCTAAATTACCAATCTGAAAGGTAGAAGAGACATCATAAACACTGTAGCCAACAGCATTTGTGCAGACGGAAGAATGCCCAAAGCAGAAGCAGGGTGTGCAACCCCTAGGATTAGCTGATTCCAGATTAAAAAATCCAGGTTTGCACCTGAAAGAGATTAAGACAGCATCAGTTGCTGTTTTCACTTGAAACTGTTTCCACACAGAAAACAATGCAGGTAGAGAAAGAATGAACTACCTCTCACAACTGAAGCCTTCAACATGGTCTTTGCAAACACATCTTCCCGTTTCAACATTACATTCATCTGTGCTACCGGAAGGATTACAGGAGCATGGCCTGTTTGGTGGAAATGGAATAAAACAATGAGACCAGGAGAAAAGAAATTCTACTCTTTAAAAAAAAAAAACATTTTATTATTTTTTATTTTATGTGTATGAATGTATTGCCTGCATGTATGTGAGTGCACCCGTGTTGTGCAATGCCGCAGAGGTCAGAAGAGGGCTTTGGATTCCCCTGGAACTGGAGTTAAGGATGGTTTGTAGCCACCATGTGGGTGCTGGGAATTGAACCCAGGTCCTCTGCAAGAGCAGTCAGTGCTCTTAACTGCTGAGCCATCTCTCCAGCCTCAAGAAAAGTCAACCTTTGTTTTGCCTGTTAATGGAGTTTACATATAATACATATGGGACAAAATGAACCCTGGTGTTACTTTTATATTTGGATTTGGGTCAAGAACACTCATCATCCATGATAAAGTCTAACACTGCATGCTAACCTAAAAACCTAAAAAACAAGAAACTCACACTCATCATATTTATATGAAAACAACTCACTTTCTATCCAACTGCAACCCCCAGGGGCATCATTCCAGCTAGTCCTACTGTGGGGAACATGTTCACGCGGCTACTATTATGGCTTTCCTGTACATAGATTCCATACCATTCCTCTAATTTTGAACACATTTACCTGCATCCTGCCTCAGTGAGGGAATGGAATCCAGGCTGGCAACGGTCACACTTGTCACCCATCACTCCTGGCTTACAGCTGCATCTGCCATAACTGTCACACTGTGTGCTGAGAGAGCCTAAAATTTAATGGGTTCATTGTCACCTCCAAATCTGGACAGCTACATGAGTAAAACTGATATCAAAAGAAACACAACTGGAAAGTAAAAGCAATGTCTGATGACCAATATGTCATCTCTAGAGGATCACAGAGAAGAAAGACCAAATTTCAAATCAGAACTCAGTAAATCACAGTTTTATTTTTTATTTATTTATTTTTATTTTTTTGGTCTTTTTGAGACAGAGTCTCCCTGTAGCCCCAGCTGGCCTAGATTCACTATGGAGACCAGGCTGGCCTCGAACTCATAGAGATCCACCTGTCTCTTTCTCCCAAGTGCTGGTATTAAAGGCGTGTGCCATCAACGCCCGGCCAAACCACAGTTTTATAAGCCATGACGGCTTAGCTTTCTGGGCATACCCTAAAATGAATTTACCTAAGAGAGTTAAACAAAAACATACCCAGTGATGCACTATACACAAGACCAGTGACTTCTCTGGATAATCAGATGCTCCCTAAGGTGCCAGTCTAGAATTTAAGCATCTTATAAGGCACAAAAAACAAAGTATTAGCACAACTCTTTAAAAAAAGAGAGAGAGAGACTGAGTGCTGTGCACTGTAGACACATACTAGCATGCTGAACAGTTCAGCCCACTAAGGAGATTTAGACTAAACAAAATCATTAACAAGGAAGAGCCTTTTAGAGTCAAAGTTCAGGCAATCTCGATGGCCCAGCTGCCAATTATTTACAGAACCACTACTCAGGCCACAACCACACTAGAAATCATCTGAAAGTTCACCTTGGTTATAGTAAAGGTTGGGGGTGGAGGCAGACTAAGAAAAGTTACAAACTACAGTAATGTGCATATCTCCACTCTTAGCTGTGCACATGCCCTGGAAACAAAGCTTTATTTTCTGTGGATTCAGGAAACTCTCATTTTGTCTCTTACTGCATCAGACTAAATGGGTCCTCCTTGCCACTTACCAACAGGACTACAGTGACATGGAGAGCAGGCTTCAGTGTTCCCAAGACGGAAGAAGTTCTCCTGGCACCGCTCACATTTGGCGCCATCGGTGTTATCTTGGCAGTTGGTACAATGGCCACCATGGCCAGTGGAACGGTACAGCTCAGGGTCAAAGTAGCATTCTTGTGATCGGCCATTGCAGTCACAGGCTGTAGGCCAAGACATATATGCAAGTTATATCAGACCCATGTACCTTTAAGAAGAGCATTTTAAAAGACTCCAAGAAAAAAGAACTGCAATTTCCTACATTTCTGTGACAGGTAGTATGGAAACGGTAACTACCAGATGCTGTTTATCAACAACAGCAAAACCGAGTTATGTCAATCAAAGGTTTATATATACAGACTGTCACTTTACTAAAATTCATCCTTATAAAAATAGGATAATCATAGTTATTCATAAGTTATAAGGAATTCCTATACTCAGAAGACCTGTCTCCTGGTAGTTATTCATATATAAGTAAAAGTCAAGTCAAGTCACCATTTTTCTGGCTCTTTATCCTTTACTTCTAGTACCAACACCAAGAACAGAGCACTAATTTATACTGAGGCTTCGATTTTAACTTTTTGATCTCAGATAATCCAAACACATTAAGACACCAGCTTTCAAAGGCCAGATTATTCAAGTATCCAGACTAGGGGAACCTGAGACATACAGGCTAAAATTAGTGCCCCTGATGATGGAAACAGAATTGCAGGGAAATGGAGACCCTTCAGATCCCTCTCCTGGGGAGCCACAATCCCAAGGGGGTCATCTGTTCAGCACAACCACACTTTAGGAACATGTATTTGTAGTCTATTAAGTCTTTGCTACTATTTATAGTAAGATGATTTTCTCAGGATTACTAACTCTATCCAAAGTATATATAAGATCTTGAGCACAAAGTTTTGTTTGGTTTAAGATAGAGTAGTTTAAAAATATTTCAACAGAGGCTGGAGAGATGGCTCAGTGGTTAAGAGCACTTACTGCTCTTGTAGAGGACCCAGTTTGGTTCCTAGCACCCACACTGGGGGATTCACAACCACCTGTAATCCCAGTTTCGGGGAATCTGATGCCCTCTTCTGGCTTCTGAGGACACCTATATGATCATGGTGCACAGAAACTCATGCAGGCACAGACATGAAAAACAAAAATAAATAAATAGAAATTCAGAAGATCATCTCTCTTTGGTTTTGGTTATGGGAGAACTTTGGAGTGTGCCCCCTTTGCAAACCCAGGTTTGGTTCCCAGCACCCACAAGGCAGCATAACTCCAGTTCTGGGGCGGGGGTGGGGTGGTCTGAAACCCTCTTCTGACCTCTGCAGGCACTGTACAACACACATGCACTAACATACATGCAGGCAATACACTTATATGCATAAAAATAAAAATAATTAAAAAATAAATCTTTGAATATATTTTCTTTTACTCTTTCCTCTTCCTTCTGTACAATATGTTCTACTATAGGATTATAACTGAAAACATTTTCAGAAACTAGTGCAAAAATTGGTTTTGTTAAGTTGTTTTATAGTGCCCTTTCCCCTTTTCATTAGCTATTTCTCTTCTTCTAAGCCATCCTAGATTACCCTGCAAACAACCCAGCCCCACTCCTGAACTGTCTGGTACTGAGGCAATGAGGCAGAAGAGTTCCCATGCCCACTCTGCTCCAACCCAGAGCTACAGCAGGTGCTGTGCCACCCTCATTAACAGCTAGGATGAGAGAAGGCATTTTCTCTTGCCTAGTCCCAGCATCCAACAGTATCACAACATCCAGAAATTCAGTGAGTTCTTAGTCAAAGCCTTTTAGCTGCAGCAGCCACTTTGTTTGCTAGGAGTGAGCTAACAATGTTCTGTTTGTTTTCCTTATTTCTTGGCTAGACTAAAAATACAACATCACTAGGCAGAATACCTTTCAAACCCATGTGTCTGTTTAGATGCCATATCCTAGAAGTAGTTCGTTTTCTCTTCGCCAGTCCTTACCTTACAGCATCCAACAACAGACATTTCAGTGCAGTAATGGCATTAAAGAAGCTCCCACAAACGAGTGCTTAGAAATACTAGAGGAGGCTATAAACTGTACCACCAACTCTGAGATTTGTTGGAAAAAATAAAAAAAGATGAATAAGGAAATCTACTCTAGGCAGCTTGATGAAAATAGTCCCGAGTCAGGATACTGGTCCCTGGTCAAAGCTCTGCAGACAGCTGCTGCAGGTTCCGGGTGTCTTCTCTCTTGGTCCCTCTGTAAGGACGTAAGAGCTTACAGCTGCTTTAAAATGTGTCAGCACTAAGTCCTTGGTAAATCATGACTCTCTCTTCCTCTCTTATAAGTTTCCTTTTCAGTTCAGAATAAACCATGACATTATGAAGGGATAAACAACCTTCTTTATTTTGACCGTTCCTAAGAATACAGAATCTACTCACAGCCACCCAATTTCCATGGGAAGGGTTGGGCAAATTCTTCCCACTGTACTCTTTAGTGAGATAACGGAAAAATAACTTTGAGAATTAATTCATTGTACCTGACACATGCTGATTAAGCTGGCTGCTTGAGTGAATGAGTACTGAGAGGAAAAAGATGATGGCTGCCTTCTGTGTCTGTGGGTGGCACACCCACAGATTTCATCAACTGCCAATAGAAAGTATTTGGGAAAAAACGTCTGTACTTAACATTTGTCCAGACTTTTCCTTACTGTCTTTATTGCCAAAGCAACATAGGGTAACAACTACTTACACAGCACTAGGCACTAGTAATCTGTAAGAGGATATGCGTGGCTACATGTAAATACCATTTCATATAAAGAGCTTGAGCAACTATGGACTTTGGTACTTGAAGAGCATTCTGGAACCAATCTCTTGTGGACACTGAGGGATGGCTGATTTTAAAGGGTCACAATGATGACAGAAGTCATATTTTAGAGGGGCCACATTGGCCCAGTATTTGAATCTAATCAAATGCCTGAACCTTGGAGATACTGCTTCCAAGTTGGTATTCATGAAGTGAATAACCAGCTGAGTTTATTCACAAGCAGTTAGCTTCATCTATGCTCTCCCTCTGACATGCATGGAGTTTAGTGTCCAACTCTCTCAAGTTACAAGAGCATTGCCTTTCAGAGTTTTCCATTCAATGAGGAAGACTCCCATCCTTTCTTCCATCAGGAGTCCTTAAGACAACCAGACAGACTACGCAGCGGCACTCACGCAGGCATTCACTGGCACTTTCGGCAGTTGCCCTCCTCCACGGTCGGTCATTGAAGAAAGGCAGGCACTTTTCACAGTCAACTCCATATGTGTTATGCTTGCAATTACATACCAACTTGTTGAATTCATTCTTCACACACTCACTGGCATGTCCATTACATTTACACCTGGGGAGAGAAAAGATGTGCCCAAGAATGGAACTTCTGAAAGGTCCTAGAAACAACGCAGAAAAGGCCTATACATGGAAGATTAAAAACAACCAAAGAAATGGGACATTAACCAGGCAGAAACTGTCAGGGATTTTCTTCTCCTAAGGACACTAGCAGGATAATTCCTGAAGTCAAGTCTGTCAAGAGGCAGCAGAAAACACTGGCTAAGAATGGCATAACATCTAACAACATCTAGGTTGCCTGGGTCTAAAGCCCCTCCCTGTCACCAACAGTGCACCAGGCCCCCACCTATAAAACAGGGCCAATGATAAAGCCTATCTCAAAGAGTAACTGGGAGTTGCTTTATTTATGCACACAGGACCACCAGAAGTGTAAGTTAATTCACACAGCAATAATTTAGCCTAATGATGCTAATGTATTTCCAACTGAAGGTGGGGAGATACTAAATTAGACACTTTACTCTCCAAAGAGATATCCCATAGTCAGATTATTCCCTCAGCTTTTCTAGGTACAAGAATCCCTGAAGGATCTCCTAGATAAACTGGTGATAAACTGAGACTCAAGGAAACTCTGGGAATCTGAATGTGTCAGGTGAAACATGGCCATTTCTTACTTGTTTCCTCAGTTCTATTAGCCTCAGCTACCACCTGAAAATACCTGAAAACACTTTGGAATCATCTTCATTATGCAAGGATGAATCCTAATTTTAGATCCCCAGCCTCATCTGATAAGGCTCCTATCCCTGATGGCTGTACAAATTTAATACCTCCCCAATAACCTAAAATATCGTATGTCTACAACTAAACTCATTATCTCCTCTAAAATTGCCCGTTTTCTTATTTTCTTTCTTTATTAATGGTATCACTCTTTTCCTGGTCATTAAACCTTAAGATCATCTTTGACTAAACACCTGGTCATTTGTCCTTCATGATAAAACACATCTATATGTTCCTTTCCATCTAGGTGTTTGCTGCCTAATATCCAGAACATACTGCCTCCTGATAGGAAAGTAACTGCTACAAACGGTATTCTACTTTTACCCCGTTTGCATCCTATAGTCCCAGTTGGCCTGGAACTCCCAATGCAGCCCAGACTGGCCTTGATTTCACAGAGATCCTCTTGTGTCTGTATCTCAAAGGCTGGGATCAAAGGTGTATCACCATGCCTGGCTCTGTACACTCATTTAAAAATTTAAGCTAGTTTTTTATGGGTTTCACCAGGGTGTGCCACTATACTCTGTTCTTCTTATAGACTCCTCTTCCTAACCCAATTTTGGTATTATAGCCTTACTCCAAACACCTGACCCAAATTCTCATCCATTACATTTCAAATTGACTCTCACTGGGCATCAAACTTAAACCAGGGACACCATATACAAAAACAATTGTTCTGCTTTTGAGACCTCATAGTCTAATACAAAAGAAGAAAGTCTAAGATTTGTTTAAGGCTTCTGGCCATGAAGCTATTTTTATGGTTTATAGTTCTACAAACTCACGTAAGAGATTTTCCTTCCATCAAGCGGGATTATACTTTCTGAACCTTTGCTGATAACATATCCATCCTCCTTTACCCAACCCAGACACCTTCCCTCTTTATCCAAATCCTACCTGTTCTTTAAGACCATCTGGACCCACCTACTTCTCCAGTAAGGCAGTTCTTACCTTGATCTGTGGCATCTTTTCAGCCATCTCTGGCTGTGTGATTTATGTGTTTAAAACACATGACTATATCAGCACAAGTTGAGTATTCCTTATCCCAAGTGTTTGGGAATAGAAGTTTTTAGATTCTTGTCCTTTTCAAAAAACATTTTGGAATAACTGAAAACACATACTGATAAACCTTGGGAATGGGACCAAGTCTAACCATGAAATTCATGTATACTTTAAACACATGACTTGAAAGTATTTTTATACAACACTTTCAGGGTACCAGCATTTTGACTGTCCACTTGAGACAGCACATCAACACCAAAACAAATTCTTATATTTTGGGGCATTTCAAATTTTGGATTTCTGGATTAGGGATGCTCAGCCTGTCTTTAAAATTTCATCAATGCCTGCCGTTCATTTGTAGGATTCGAAAAGGTCAGGACAGTAAGAAGTAAGTCTTGCCCCTTTGTCAACAGCTTTGCTGAACCTACACAGAGTTTTGCACTTAAATGGTCAATGAGAATTTACTCAAATTATGGATTTAACAAGGTTTTGGAAAACCCAATTGCTTAGATTCCAGGATGAGAAGAAAAATTTTCTAGGTTGCTGCTGGTCTTTCCAGATATGCACATCGCTAAAATTTTTTTTTTGGTCTTTTTTGAGACAGGGTCTCCCAGTAGCCCCAGCTGGCCTGGAACTCACTATGTAGACCAGGCTGGCCTTAAACTCAGAGATCTGTCTGCCTCTGCCTCCAAGTGCTGGGATTAAAGGCGTGAGCCACCATACCCGGTGACATCCCTAAATTTTAATATAGTCCCAGACAAGTTGCTCTGTTCATACCTACAGCAAAGTTCTGATCACTTTCAACGCTGATTCAATAGTTTACTCACCTGCCACCTACAGCAAAATCAGAGATTGCATAATAATAGGACTTGAGAACTTTGGGGTCATTAAACACTTCATCTCCAAAAGTGTTTAGGCGATACAGTGTTACTCTGATGTCAGTAGCAGTTACCCATTCCTGCCAGGAAGCAAAAAGAAAAATAGACACATAAAGGAAAGAAGAGGGACTGAAGATGAGAAACAAGTTTGACAAAATCTTCTAAATAGTTCATATGTTAATCTAGAGCCTCTTCTTGTGCTAAATTGTTAAAATAAGGAAGGACTTCCTTTAATTTCCTAATGTTGTTCTCTCCCTTGATTCTTAGCCTCTGTAGTTAACATTGTTACTTTATTACTTGGAGTTTCCAAAAGCAAGAATACTACTTACTAGTTTTTTCATAAAGCAATTGAAAAGGTTAAACAAAACACACACTTAAAGTCCTAGCACACAGAAGTATTCTGCATTTTGTTCCTGCTCTCTATCCTGAATCTAAAATTGAAATGCAGTCGGTAGCAGCTCAGATCACACAGAATGTATGCTCGTCCCAGCACACTTGTATGCGTACACTGCCCCCAACCCCTGCACTTTCTATGCCATTGATTTCTGCCTCTCAGACCTAATCCCCACAGGTGGATCTGGGGCAGACAGATACCTAAGCACAAGGTAATGTGTCATAAGACTGACCCAGGCAACCAAATGCAGTATGTGTTTATCTTGATCTTTCCCACAGTATCACTTATGTAAGGTCTTCCCTGCCCACTGTTAAAAACCATTATTATTCCACTTTACTCATTTCCACATTTCATCATGTGACTTCACTACTTGATTATAAGCATCAAAAGGGTAGGAAATCTGTGTCTGTTTTGCTCAGTGCCATGCTTGGCATACAGTAATTCCCTCTGAGTGAATGAATGAATCTAAAGAAACTACATTCAATCAAGTTGGAAGGTATACCATAAAGCAGCAGACAAAAATGAAGGCTGTACTGTTTCCTCTGGGTTTTATGATATCTAAGGCCTTATAACAAATATCCTTTCATTAGGCTAATTTTATCAGATGCTTACATGTGTGACAGACTGCTGTAATAATGAGTCCAGTGACTCATGTCTGCCAGTGCCACACCCAGTACAGTCCTGTTCCGTGCTGGCTTTGGGCTTGGATGCATGACTGGTCTTGGCAAAGGGGGACATCAGCCAATGTGACACAAGCAGAGGCTTGACAAGTACTCATGCAGAGGGACTTGCCTTCACTGTAGAAAAGCCTAATCTAGTCTAAACATGAAAGGCCACAGATGAAGAGAAAGGCCCAGTCCTTAGTTGACCTGCTGGGTAAGCCTAGACTAACACAGAATCATGAGAAATAATAAAGCATGGTGGTTTAGAGCCAGTAAGTTCTGGGCAATGTATCACTTATAGCCACCCAAAGACAGCATTTCCTACTCTAAGTCGTGGAGTGTGTCAGTATCACCATCTCCGATGTAACAAGCAGGGGCAGTGAAGCAGACATCTATGCTTCCAGAAGACTCCCATGAGACCAGTAGGCACACTCCTGATTAAGAACCACTGCCTTAAACTACGCCAAACACCTGGCAACCTGGAGAGCTCATAAAAAGCTAATCTCCATGAAGCTCATAAAAAACTAATCTCCATGAAGCTGCAAAGGAGAAGAGATGATGACTTCACCACATCCAAACTTGGAACTCAATAGCAACAACCAGTCATGGCCACAATGGCAGGAATCTGTTAGCTGTTGGTATTGTAATAGCTAAACACACCTCTGCTTAATACCTATAATACTTGCTACAGATTTCATCTTTACCACTACTCCCCTTTATAAAGGTGTCTCAAAGGATTCCACTAAGGCAATTATTTTCATCATAAACATCTTAAAAAGAATGGATTCCAGCTAGACTGAACAGGATCTGAGTCTCAGTTCTGTCACGTAATATGATTTGGGTCAATTTATATTTTTTCTGAGCTTCGATTCCTCATCTATAAAATGGAGATAAGAATATCCAACTTACAGAGTTATGAAAGTTAAACAAGTTCATATACTAGACATCAGAGTAATGCTTAGCTGTCTAAATGGCTGAAAACAGTGCTCACCACATTACATCACAACTAAGTGCACAATAAATGCTAACTGTACTATAACCAGTACAGCTGACACTCACATCAATGGAGCCAGGAGCAATCTCCTCCTCCATCAGGGGGACTGGAGTGTAACTTGTTCACTGTCAGCTAGCAGTCAAATCTGCTGGCCTTCCTTGGCCCTGAGCTATGACAGCCAGAGCTCTTATATCCAGAGACACATAATTAAAGCTACTGCACAGTGAAACGAACTGACTGAATCCATGCAGATGCAAAGAACTCTTACTACATGTAGCCTCACCATTTTCTAAGGCATAAGGAGGAGCAAACAGAAGAATTCCTGCAGGGGAAGCTGCTCAAGACAGGCTGACAGGTATGCAATCAGCAAAGGAGCCAGAAATCCAGTTAGAACTTTCTACCGGGTTCTTTCCTACTGACCTCACTGCTGCCTCTCTAGGACAGGAAATACAATTTACTGGAGGAGGAAACAAGGAACAAGGCTGACAAGTGTTTGCTACATCACCCCTTCTCAAGACTTGCAGTCTTCAGCTTTTTCATCCATCTAATTCAACTCTTCTCTCTGCCATTTGCTTTATCTCTTATCACAGACACCCTTTTCTGAAGGCCTCTGTAAATATACTGGTTGATCACCATCACCATGGAATTTACCAAGTATTTTCAGATTCACCATCTCCTGGCAGTGGGGGCAGAGGGTTGGGGGTGAGGGGATGGCTAGACACACAGAGAAGCATAGTCTCATCTTCTGGCTCTAAAACCAAACAACAAAATCAGAGTCCTTGAATACAATAATAAATTCTAGGGCTGGCAAGATGGCTCAGTAGGTAAGGGTAATTGCTGCCAAGCCTGATGGCTTGAGTTAATCCCCAGGACCCACATAGTAGGAGAGAACTGACTCCCACAAGCTGTCCTGGGACCTCTACACACAAATGAATGTAAAATAATGATAATGATAACTGATAAAATGATAAAATAATTACTATTACCATAAATTCCAAAGGAAAAAACTCTCAGAAGCTGGAAGTGGAAAGCCCAGAGAAACAGGTAGCCTTCTTATTTAGAAATCATACGGCTTTCCATGAGACAGACAACATTTACAAAGCCTCCTCTAGTCTTCTTTCTTTAGTCAACAAATAAAGGTTGCCCCCACTGAGATGCTAACTTTAGCCCCATGACATAGGGTCTTGATCAACACAATTAAGAATAACATGGGTATCACCAATCTTCCACAATCACACAGCCCAAATATATGGAAAGTTTGCAGAAGCTTATGCAATACTCAAAGATTCCATATGAGAATATGGAGTATGTATACAGAATATAAGGAATATGCACAGACTTGCTGAATAAAAAGAAAGCTTTAATTTGCTCTACTGTTAAGACAGGGAAAGGGTTTTAACATGATGCTTAAGCACAGTACCATGGGTACTCAGATACCCTGTCATTAGCACTCAACTTTTCAGGTGATGAAGCGTTCTCATAGTGACAATCCACAGCGCAGACAAACCAATCAAAATTCCCTTGTGTGATAATGAAGGTAGCATTCTAAATATCTTGCATCAACTGTTCCCCTTGTTAATTAAAAAAAAAATGCCTTTGGGGGCTGGAAAACAGCTCAGTGGTTAAGAGCACTGGTTGCCTTTGCAGAGGACCTGAGTTTAGTTCCCAGTACCTACATGGAGACTAACAAATGTCCTGTCCATCGTTCCAGTTCCAGGGGACCCAACACCCTCTTGTGACCTCTTCAGACACTGCACGAAACAGGTGTACTTACATACATGCAGACAAAACACTCATACATGTAAAATAAAAATAAATAAAAAATTTTAGGAAAAGAAAACCTGCTTTTTAGTGGTTAAAAAAGGATGAAGAAAACTAAGAGGATTATTTCCAATATCTTATTTTCCTAAATTAAAAAAAAAAAAACAAAAACCTATTTTCTGGAGGGCTGATGAGATGGCTCAGCAGGTAAAAGATACCTGCCACCAAGCCTAATGAACTGAGTTCAATCTTTGGAACCCACATAGTGGAAGGAGAGAACCAACTCTGACTAGTTGGCCTCTGACCCCATACACATGCTATGGCATACATGTGCTCCCACACATACATGTATACACATGCACACAAAGTAAATTAAAAAATATAAAGAAACTAAAAAAAAAATTTCAAGACAGGGTCTCATATATCCCAGGCTGGCGTTGAACCTGTTTTGTAGTTGAAGAGGACCTTACATTTCTGATTCTCCTACCTATACCTCTTGAGTGCTGAGATAATAGGCGTGCCACACCTGGTTAATGAGGTGCTGGGGATTGAACCTAGAGCCTTGCCCACACCCCATGAGCACTCTGTCAACTGAGTTATGGCACCAGTCCTATGTCATATATCTTCTTGAAAAGGTCAGAAGTAAAATGTTTCCACTTCAAGTAGAGAAACTCAAGTTAGAACTGTTCAGCTTTTATAAGATTTGTAAAGTAGCCAAGTGTGGTAGTATGTACCCATAAGTTCAGCACTAGGGAGAAGGAGGCTACAGGATCAGGAGCTCAGGGTCATTTTTGGCTGAATATTGAATCTGAGGTCAATGTGGACCACATGAGATCTTGTCTCAAAAAGTTAAAAAAAAATTAAAGTTGTTTGGTTAAATGTATACCCCAGGATGTCTGCAAGTGGAAAAGAATACAAGAACAAGCATCAACCAAGCAGCGGGAAGGAACGGGAATGGACTTTCCTTCCCTTATGGGTAGTGCACAGAACAGCATAAAACCGGCTGCCCATTTTACAGAAGTGGACCCTCCTCTGATACCTCATCTTAAAAGTGAGACTCCAGGCCCACTCCAGTAATTCTCAGACACTCATTCATGGTAGAACTAGCTGGCTTCCATGCCACCCTGCAAGTGCATACCTGCAGCACAGGGCTATTGTCAAAGTTGTAGGCACTGGGCCTTCCTTCCAGGGTTGAAAAGGCCACGTTGCCCCCTGTGAGGGGAGAAATGTCACTGAATTCATCTGTACACAAGGCCTGCTGCTCATCCCCTCCTGTCCTGATGAAGCCACGATTGGCCTTCAAGTAGGTGTTCTCGCAGGAGCCACTGTAGTATTGGTAAGGAATCCATGGCCCATCCTCCCGAGTGCGCTTATAAATGGCGAAGCTCTCTGGGCGGCTGGTGTGAAACTTTAGACGCACATAAGTGATGTCAAAAGCCTTTCCTGTGGACAAATACATCAAAGGTCATAAGTCATATGAATGAAGATAAGAAATCCCCCCAATTTCTAAGGAGATCTGGAGCCTGACAAAGAGGAGGAGGCCATTATTAGACTAGGAGGACCTCAGGACGCTCAACACAGTGGCTGGTTCCACTGTGCTATTCTAAACCTGGAAACAGTGTACATTTTCCCATAAAATGACAAATTCTAATTGGGTTCATATATTGGTTACTAAAGGCTCATAAATGACATGCATTGTTGAAATTTTGTTTGCCATAACAGCTGGTAGTACCAGTACAGTACTAATTAATTTTAAAACTAAATCAGAAACTGATACACCAGCATTAAAAATAAGTGAGCTTAGGGACTGGAGAGATGGCTCAGCAGTTAAGAACACTGAATGTTCTTGCAGAAGACCCAGGTTTGAATCCCAGTACCCACATGGCAGCTAACAACTGTCCATAACTCCAGTTCCAGGGGATCTGACACCCTCTTCTGACCTCCGCAGGCATTGCACGACACAGGTGCACTCACATATATGCAGGCAGTACATGCATACACATAAAATAAAAATAATAAAATATTAAAAAAAAATAAGTGAGCTTTTTTCCCATGTTTATCTAAACGTGTATCTTCCACCTAAGATGTGGTACAACAGTCTACATGGACACAAGTCACACACTATAGTTAATACTGTTTTGTTAAAAGAACACAGATTTAACCAGCAACACTTCACTACATCAAAAATGCCAAACTGTCACTTCTGAATGAGGGTGAGGTTACTGTATAGTACGTATGGCATTCCAGAGCTTTGCTATCTAAGACATTCCAACATGGCCAACAGTTGCTCTGACATGGGACTTGGTGGCTTGGGATGCTTGAGGGCTTACTCACTAACCTGTGGATTACACATTACCTTTGTTCTCTTTCCCACTACCTTTCTAACATCTCATTGTTTTTTGGCAGCAGACACCTTACAAAATAAATCTGCATATGTGGCCATTCTCAATTGTGGCCAAAGACACAGGGCCACAGGTGGCAAAACCCAGAAAGTTATCTTGCTTGCAATAAGCTCAGGCTGTTGGCGTCTCGTGTGGGTCTCTGCCCCCCTTTCAGAGCTGCCTCTCTCCAGGTAAGAGGCATAGGAGCTCTACAGTGACTTTCTCAGAGGCTGACACACTTCTGCATAAGACAGCCATGTATTTTGCCCTCAGAGTCACATCAAACCACAGTGGACAGAGAAGTTCAGTTCTGCCTGGTGAGTCTCTCACAGGGTGGGGCATCACATCTGAGGAGCATGGAGGAAGACCATCTAACCCAGGTTTGTGAGGTGTTTCTGAGGGAAACAACCAAGTAATGATTAGAATTAGCTAGGCAAACAGTTGCTTAGCTGAAGAAATGAAATGTTTGAAAGTGGGGTGATCACTAGATGAATGAGAGCTGCACAGCAGCTACATCTAAAAAGGACAGCTGAACATGGAGAAAAAAGCAGGAAAGCAATTGCAACACAAGGTCAACAGCCAACCACTGAAGGACTACACCAGGAAATGCATGCTCAGATTTGACTTTGTGGCTGCTGTGTGGCAATCAGAAGGGACAAAATGAAGGACATCTTAATATATGACAATATTTCCTTTCCTTTCCTGTCCTGTCCTCTCCTTTCCTTTTAAATAAAAAGATATGGGGGTTGGGGATTTAGCTCAGTGGTAGAGTGCTTGCCTAGCAAGCGCAAGGCCCTGGGTTCGGTCCTCAGCTCCAGGGGGGAAAAAAAAAGATATGGCAATATTTCAAGAGAGATACACTTGAACTGGAACTTGAAACAGTGAAATGCAGAGAAATGAATGGGCCAGAGTGAGGTGCAAGGAGCCAACAGCAACACAGCAGTGGACAGGGTGGATTAGGAGGCACTTTAAAGACAGCCTCTGCTTGCAGTCTATTTCCTTGTCAAGGCTGCTGCTTCCCATTCCACAGAGTGGAAGGATTAAGAATCACATTTAATTTTCTGGTTTAAAAACCACCAAATGGAAAGCAGTCTCATTTACTAAAACAGAGCAGAAGATAAACAGGATTAAGTGTGAGGAGATGCCTCCAATTTCAGATACAGTAGATCTGAGGTTCCTGTAAGTCACCTAGACAAGAGAAAATCTCTAGAGGGGAGCTGGATATGAGCAGCCTGAAGGTCCAGAAGACATCTAAGTTACACATAAAGACTTATGATCCCTTGGCATGGAGACACTGAAGCTTTAGGGGATGGCTGAGATCATGGGCCAGCTTTCATGATCACCCTGGAGAACACCAAGGTTTAAAGCACAAACAGATGAGATGATCAAACACACAGGGAAGAAGTGACCAGGGAAAGAAGGAGCCAGAAAAACAGGCTCTGAGGAGAGAATAACCAATAGTATTAAAATCTATTATGAGTTGGGCTGGGGAGATGGCTTGGTTGGTAAAAGTGCCTTCTGCACAAGGATGAGGACCTGAGTCTGGAACCCCAGCACCCACATAAAAAACTAAGTGTGGCTGTATGCACCTGTAATCTCAGTGCTGGGAACGTTGAAACAGAAGGATCCCTGAGGCTGGCAGGCCTGCCAATCAGTAAGCTCTAGGTTCAGTGAAAGACCTTGTCTCCAAAACGGTGGAGGAGCTAGAGATCGTTCAGCAGTTAAGACTACTTCCTGCTCCTCCAGAGGGAATGAGTTCAATTCCCAGCACCCATATCCGTCCACATACTACAGGGGATCTGATGCCTTCTTCTAGCTTATGACATACATTCACACAGATATATACACCCACATCTCCCCACACACAAATGAAATTAAAATCTTAAGAAAAAAAATAAGATGAAGTAATTGAGGAAGATACCTGACATCAACCACACGTGCAATTACACATCTGCATACTTACATGCATCCTCCCCCCCACAAATCTGCTAAGAGTCAAGTGTTGAGTAAGATAATGCTGAAGAAATATCCATGACTTCAAGCCACAAAGGCCATGTACACTTAAAGGAGATCCAGGGACAGGGATAAAGTCCCTGGAACTGAAGATAGATAGTAGACAGAAGCAGGGAGCATGGGCAGCCTGCTAGAACAGAGGGCTAAAGAGGAGAAACAGGAAGGTATGACACTGGAGGGAACACAGGGCTGAAGCAAGGCTTTTCCTTTTATTTTGTTTTTAGGTAGGAAGGATGAATGTATATATAATATTGCTATGCAGGTCCACAGATAGGGAAAGCCTAAAAATACATGATGAGATATACAAACAGGATTCAGTGCTGGCTGGGGGACTGGCTCGACACAGGAAGAAACCTACCTCCTTGCTCTGTCCAGATACAAATGCAAGTGACTTTGTGAGGGATAAAAATGGAGAGTTCTGGTGACAATCTGGGGTGCCTATGCGCAGCACAGAGGGCAAAGCCAGGGGTAGTTGGATGAGACATATCTGAGGAACTTAGAAACTTTCTTCTTTTCCTTTTTTTTTGAGACAGGGTCTCACTATGTAGCCCAGGCTGGCCTTGAACTCACAGAGATCCACCTGCCTCTGCCTCCTGACTGCTGGGACTAAAAATGTGTGCTGCAGTGCTTGACTTTTCAATTGTGTGTAAGAGTATGGGAGTGTGGGGGGTGGGGGTTGTCAGAGGACAACTTTTTGGAGTTGGTTCTCTCCTTCAACCATAGGTTCCAGGGATCGAATTCAGGTCATCAGGTTTGCACAGCAAGTGCTTTTACCCACTGAGTCATCTCACTGGTCTGCTTAGAAACTTTAATAGCCACTTGTAGCCCAGCAAAGAAAAACAGCCTTATTGGGGAAAGACTGGGCCACTGAGAAGAGGGTGGGAGAGCACAGCTTTGAACAGATAAACATTTCTACAGAGGTGTCATTTCCTCTAGTAGCCTGGAGCATCCTCTTTACCAATATACAGAAAGACAGAGACAAGAAATCTGAAGTTGCTTCAAGGAATTTGGAATCTAGTCAAGTCCTGGTTTGGCATCCTATTATCCCAAACTCAGAAGGATAAGGCAGGAAGATTTCAAGTTTGGGATCAGCCTGAGCTACCCAGCAAAACCCTTTGCCACAAAACTAAGGGCTCTGGGGTCAAGCCCCATCATCTTCTCCCCCACCTTCCCCCTGAAAATAAAGCAAATAAAATCAGAAAATGGGATGAAAGAGCCAAAGTGTGCCATTATCTGTGATACCTGAAATTAAGGTAACCATGGATGAACACTTGTTTTTATTGTCAAACAGCTACCACTGAGAACTTCCATGTCTGCCTCTGCTTCTTCCTCCTGCCCTCCCTCCTCCCAATCTCACCACACGTACTAATTCCACATTGGTCAAGTAAGAAGAACTAATTCACTGGTAGGTGAATAGAAAACATATCCAGGGTTTCTGATTTCCAGTCCAGCGATCTTGCTGTTATCATCGTGGGAGTAAGCAAAACTGGACAGTACAGCTTTAAGTTCAAGAAGCCCAGCCAAATGATTTAAGAAGTCAGTAAGTACAATTCTGGATATATCACCTCCTGTTCAGACACAAGACAAGCCATGGATACACACACCCTTCAGAAAATAATGAGCTTCCTCTCAGTGTTCTGCTGCCCCTCTCCCTCCCATTGCCACATTCCTTCCATAGACAACAAAACTCAAATACAGATGTTTAGAATGGAACACTCAAAATTAATTAGTATTTTCTGCTCTGGATCCTAGAGTTCATGCTGGCTGAGGAAATGTGAGAAGGGGAGGGGGCTGCCAGAACAATGAGAATCCAGGCTTGCCTCAAGCAGGGCCAAGCCAAGAATTCTGTTCCAGCCTCCTACGTGGTGAAGTATTTCTAATCTCTTTGAGTAGGGGAGAACTCTTCCTGTCTAAGAACTAGATGCAAATGACGACTGCTGGGGAACATAAACGCCTCTCTGTTATGTGCAGTTCAGAGGAATTCCATGAGGACCTTGTGAAACAGCCCTCTTCACAGTTTAGTGCTGAATGACAATGGCCATACAGAAC